CGCTCTTTTAATGGGCAATTACATTTTAATGAGAGTTTACCATAGCCGCCACCTCCTCCATCTGTCGATAAATGCAAATTTTGGCCAAGGGGGCGTGGGCAAAGTTTACCTTCAAAGGTCAACTTAAAGCCGGGGGTCAGATTGCTGTAACTCCGATTACATTGTCTGTGTCCGCCTTTGAATGCAAATTTCGCATCCTCTGTTATTCATTTCGTGTCGCTCCCTTTTCCTCCACATCGAACGTTTGACACATCAAAGCGCTCGCCTGACAGCAGCACACTCTGCTTTATATATTTATACCCTTGCAGAGGGTATTATAATTTCAGTCAGAAGTTTGCAACGCAGTGAAGGAGACATCTCCGACCCTATAAAGTATATATATTCTTGATCAGCATCACTAGGCGAGTCGATCTAGCCATGTCCGTCTGTCCGTCCGTCTGTCCGTCTGTCCGTCTGTCCGTCTGTCCGTCTGTCCGTCTGTCCGTCCGTTTATATGCAAACTAGTCTCTCAGTTTTAAAGCTATCTGCATGAAACTTTCCCAAAAGTTGTCTTTCTATTGCAGGTAGTATATAAGTCGGAACGAGCCGGATCGGACGACTATAGCATATAGCTCCCATAGGAACAATCGGAAAAATAAAGGAAAAAAATTATAACTTTGCTGTTTTTTAATTTTTTGTTTAGTTCTTCGACATTTAGTAATGGTTAAATATTTCCGATTTACGGTTTAAATTTCATCAAAATCGGACGACTATAGCATATAGCTCCCATAGGAACAATCGGAAAAATAAATGAAAAAAAATTATAACTTTTCTGTTTTTTAATGTTTTGTTTAGTTCTTCGACATTTAGTAATGGTTAAATATTTTCGATTTACGGTTTAAATTTCATCAAAGTCGGACGACTATATCATATAGCTCCCATAGGAACAATCGGAGAAATAAATGAAAAAAAATTATAACTTTTCTGTTTTTTAATTTTTTGTTTAGTTCTTCGACATATGGCAATGTTTAATTATTTCAGAATTATGGTTTAAATTTTATCAAAATCGGACGTCTATATCATATAGCTCCCATAGAACTAATAAAAATATATAAAATAACTATCTAATAATTGAGCTGCAAATCATCATAGCTTCACTGTTTTTCAGTATATACTGAAGTAAATCATAATGTAAATGTTTTCAAAAGTATTTAATTCATGCAATAGCTGCAAGGGTATATGAACTTCGGCTTGCCGAAGTTTGCTTTCTTTCTTGTTTTTTTAAACATGCGTGTGCGATTAAAAGAGTAACAGCAACTGAAACTGAAACCAACATTAAAGGGCCGACGCTTTCAATTGGAAAAGCAGAAAAAAAAGGAGAGAAAAGAGAAAAAAATCAGAGCGGCAAGCAGAAATATAATGAGTTTTGCAGGCTACAGGCTTATGGTTGGTCATGGCCGCCCCTGACAAGCGTTGACACTTTTCCGCATTTCCATTTTCCCGCCCAGTCTGCCCAGGATTCTGGCGCGAGTCTCGTAATGTTGATGGACACTCGCTTTGATTTTCCGTTGCTAGCGCTGTTGCTCGTGTGGCTTTTCCTTTTGCCAGTTAAGTCCACACTAACGACTTGTCATACGTGCGGTTTCATCCGCGTACAACGACATCGGCGCGGGTATCACCATCATCATCATCAGCATCATCACCGCTACCGACTCTGTTTGCCCTGTCCTCTGAAAGAGTGTCCAATCCTCTTCTTTGGGCTGCGCCGCATTTAAAATCAATTTCATGGCCCTGCCAAACAAACACAAGCCCACAAACACACACCGTCGCGTAGTAAATCCCTGTTTTTGTGCCTCAGCCACAAATGCAAATATAAACATATGTGATGGCCACAAAAAAGAAATCCTTTTCAAGCTGTAAATATTACCCTAATGTGGGAAAGTCAAGCCACTGGGCGTTGTCATTTGCGGAGATAGTCAGTTTTCTGGACAAGATGTGATTTGAGATGTTTCATTTTGATTATTATTGATATTAAATTTTATTTTATAGGATCGATTTTCTTACAATATATATACATATACAATATTCCACAATATTCCATTTTAAGCTGTGTAGTTGTTAATATTTTTCCTTTAATATAAAAATCTTCTACAAAAAAATACTTTAATATCTGCTTTAAAGTTGATTTAATGATGTACTATAAAAACCAACATTTTATTAAAATTTACAAGTATATTTGGAGCATATTTTTAATTATATTCGATTTATTCTTTTACCCTCAAAGGGTATTAACTCAGCGACTTTCAAAGTAAACTTTTAAATATTTTATATTTCGTTTTGATAAGTCTTCAACTCTCAGTGAGTAGGTATTTATGTCTGAAAGGCCAAAGGAAAGGTCGTTACTGATAAGTCGAACCCTGCCTGTTCGGCTAGTCAGTTGGTTGGCCAGTTGTCCGCATCACGTATACGCCACGTTTTCATTGAAGCAGTGCAATGCACTCTCCGCAAAAAAAGAACTTCCGGTAAGACGGATTTGGGCATCATTTAGTTTGCTGTGAACTCCAATTAAGCAGCTGACGGAATGAGAAGTGCCCTGCGGCACCTGTTCCGTGTTTTTCTTGGCACTTTACTGACTGCCACTCGCTCGTGTGCCAAGAGCAATAAAAGTTTGCCGACTGACGATGGCAGGCGGAATTATTCATTCGACATTTAAGTGTCTGCCGGCACGTGCAATGAAAAAGTTTAACACACCTGCATACATTACACAATCCATGGGCATGAGTCGTTAAAGAAGAGAAATCCCAACTTAAAGACGCTCGTCGGCTGCAATAAAAAACACATGACAAATTGGTGGCTTTTCACCGGCCTTGCATACTTTCAGGCCAATCAATCTGCATATGGAATATTTGCTACTGATGGCCAAAAGCAATCGATTTTCATCTTACTTTGGTTTTTTTTTTTTGGTTGGAAATTAGGATGGGGAACGAAAGTGATTTCCTGCCAGGCATTGCCAGCGCCAAAACTTCATCAAGCTGCCGACTCTTATCGCTGGAGAAGGGGTCTTGGGTACTTGGGGCTGCATGCCTGGAATATCTTCCGGTTCCGCAGTTTTTGATGTCTTCCTTTGTGGGGAAGAGGTGATGCCTGTGGCAAAAACCACAGACTGCAGAGCCAGTAAGTGCCAAATAATAACCGCATGCTGGTAAAACAAATCGCAGAATTTCCAATGCAAAGCGAGAGAAATCCAAGAGAAATTCCAAAAGCCCCCAGAATATTCGATGCAGGCAAAAACACTCAACTATGAATGCGATTTCCATGTAATTCCAACGGATTTTGGCACGTGCGGCAACAAACTAGACGATAAGATTGCAAAAATAATCTATTTTCGGTATGTGTCTGGGTATGGGTTTGTATATGTATCATAGCACATAAAACGGCAGATTGCGGTTAATGGGCGTTTAAAAAGGCGTGAAAAGGGTCACCTATGCTGCAGTTTATTGTGGCATATTTTTGGGGGAGTGGTTGTCCCATAAAAATTCAAGTGCCAGTCGGTCATATTTTAATGGGTCTTTTCGGCCATTGTTGATCCAACTGCAGCAGAAATGCGGGGCGTGACAACAACAAAGGAAGCGGCTAACACACGCCAAGAAAGCCAAACAATCGCTGTCTAAACTCATTGTGTGCGCTTTGTGTGCACTGAAAAGGGGAAAGGATCATTCGGAGACACTTGCACAAAAAGGGGGAAAGGGGGGCTTCCTTTTCCCCCCCCACAGTCGTGTGTCAATGCAAATGTCTATGAGTGGAAAAACTCACATTGATGCCGCTTTGTCGCATTGTCTGCTCAATACTCGAATGTAGTGTGTGTGGGCGGAAATATTGTTTGCTGGTAAACGCCACTGACAAACACTACCAGTTGTAAATTGATTGTGAGCAGCCAAACACTTCACTTCACTCTGTCAGTTGATACGGCTAAGGTTGGTTATTGCCAGCCGACAGAACGACTAAACAGAAAAGATTTGAGCTGACATCTTCTCGATGCGAGCATAGAGTTTAATAGAGAAGACAAACTGTAAAAAATTTATTTATTAATTTACATTTTGTAATCAAGCGCTTTACGGAGGTATGCACTTTCCCATCTTGCACACCACGGCCATACACTAGGATTTAAATAAGAATTAAAGTAGGCAATCTGGGGTATTGTGTCCCTTAAACTTACAATCACAAAGCCCAAAGTACACAAAATATCTACAAGTCTGGCGGTCCACATTTTCACGCTGGGAAAGTTTAGATTCTATTGGCTCTTGAACCGGATATGGTTTGGTATTGCCACGCAGCGCTTTTTTATAATGTTAAATTACGTAATTACCATAAATACTGTGACATCGCAAAGTATAGAAATTCTAGAAAAATACTATGCATACTATAGATAGATATATAAGAGGCACGATGTTGGGCAATCAGTGCTTAAAGGTCGTTTTATTTGTATGGATGTTAATGTGTCATATAATTTTATATCCAGAGATCTTCGCGGCGCATTTACTCATGTATGTCATGCACTTTCCCGAACAGCAGTCCATGTGCATCTGGCACTAGGATTTAAATGAGATTGAAAATAGGCAATCTGGGATCTTATATAACTTAAACTTACTATACCCTCATTTGCCACACAAGCCTGAAGGACAGTCACAAAGCCCAGGATACACAAAAGGAGTAAAAGTCTGACTGTCCACATGTTCACCCTAGGAAAGTTCAGATTTAAGTGGCGCCTTTCGCTTTCGCATATAGTTAAACTGGATATGGATTAGTATTGCCACGTAGCGTTTTCTTTTATATTGTCAAATTAAGTACAGCTGTGTTCATGGAAATAGCAGCCAGTAAATTGGCCAATATCAAAATGGCGTAATATTCTTTGGACAGACGAGTCCAAGCTGACTAACGGTAATTTGGCATATGCCATTCCAAAACACAACAGCCAATCAGCTCAATAGATAATAAAGGATACACAACAATACACAAGTATATTTGTTTAGTTGTAGTTAGTTTATAAAACCTTTATTGGTTTTATTAGCTTGACACTGATATTTCATTATATGTCGTTTTTCACTAAATGGTAGTCATACTGGAAATATATTGAACACATTGAAACAAAAATTTACTAAGTTATATTAAAAAAAATAATCATAAATCCATGTAGAAAGTGATGGTCATCTTCAGTGCTATTTCCATGAAGACAGCTGTAATAACCAGAAACAAATAGTGTGACACCGCAGATTATGGCAATTCTCAGTCTGGAAAATCTGGAAAAAAAAATTAATTGACAGTAAAAGTTGGTCAAATTGATGAAGAAATTATCTTACATTTTCACTGGCATTCTCCGGCCACGTGTATGCAATTTCCCGAGCAGCAATCCATTTTCTTTTGACACTGTTCAAAATGTTGGCATTAATGTAACAAATCAATTATTTTATATCATAAAACCTTACATATCCGCCTCGTCGCTTGCAAATTTGGGTGGGAACTTTAGTGGTTGCAGTCACTAAGATCTGGTTATGAGTTACAGCCACAAAGGCCAGGATGTATAACATAAGTACCAATCGGACAAACAACATCTTTACGCTAGCAAAGTTTAGATACAACTGAAACAAACGTTTTATTTACATCTCTAAAATACTACTTTAGTTTGTTTTATGATTTTTTGAAGAAAATAATATATATACACACAGAGGAAAACTTCATAGTAAAAATAAACATCAAAAATATTTGAATGCAACATTGATTTTTAAAATATAAACTTACTTAAAATATACTAAGAGCTAGATAATGTTATTAACATATTTAATTGGTTTATCCAATAGGAAAATTAAAGATTTAAATTTAAACTAAAAACTAACACACTTTGACTTAAACACATCACCCCTCGGGGCTAAAACAGTACCAAAATATTTAATTTAAAGTAAAAATAGTTGAATTTATTATAATTTTTCTCTGGGTGTTTTTTGGCGTGTAATCTTATTTTGCTAAGGTATTATATAGCCCGCCGTGAAAATGCGAAAGTAAATGAAGTGCTCTTCTAGTTATCTTGTTTTTAAAATAAATTGCTTGTAAATAAACAAGTAAGGTTTCTATTATGTTGTTGAATACTTTTAGGGATAAGTGATACAACGCTGAGTATACTCTTTTTACACAACCTTAAAAGCGTGGCTAGAAGTCTAAACAATATTACGCATTGTAAATACCAAGCAGAACTTTAGGAAATAAAATGATAATAATTATAATTGTACAATTTTAATTATAAAATATATGTTTTATTTTCTTTAACTTATCTGTAAAACTCCCTTTGAGGAGTTTAAGTAACGCAGCGATAAACACGTTTCAAGCATTTCATACTGCAGCAGTGCTCTGCCATCGTACACCTACTCCTAAACTGCACACATTTGTCGGCCCAGTGCAGACGTTCCCTCTGAGAAATAATAAATAGTTAGCTTATTCATATATCGAATCAAACATTTTTAAGTCTTTTACTTGAGTTAAATTTGTGGATATAGGCAGCACATCGGTGGCATTACCCAGACTAAGTGGCCAAAACTCCTCCATGCCATAAAGTTCGTGAAGATTTGGCAAAGCGATGTTTAAACCAAAAAACATATGGACAATGATTATTATTAGTGCACTTAACTTCATGTTGGATTTCTAACTGAATGCTCTAAAATAGAAATAACGTTTATATACCAATCCAGGCAAAAATGAAAAATAGAGTTTTTTCATCAGCAATGTTATTATAGTTGGTTTTAAAAGAAACAGTTTCGTATTGAATAACAATAAGTCTAGGTGGCAAAAAGTCGGTGACTGAAATCCACAACCGGCGGACTTTGCCAAACACTCTGAACCGAATCGGCGGCCACCATATTTCGATAGTCGGCTACTCCGCGGAACAAACTAAGGAACATGTTGGTGAACATGGTAACCTCATCCTGGTTGAGAGGATTCAGCTGCTGCTGCACCGGTGGCTTCGAGATCAACGGTAATTTTGCATCCTTAGAAGAGGAATCCTTTCCAGCTGGCACAGCTTGAACTTGGGACTAAAAACGAAAAAAGGTAAAATAATTTTTAAAATTTTGTTCACATATTTAATGGAACGTATTAAACAACGCATTATTATGTTGTTCTCTCAGTAAGTTTCTTTTTTTATAAAACAGAATCCAAAATCAATGGAGTCCAAAACTAGTTTATATACGTCCAAGCCGGATTATTCCTTACAGCAAGGACTAAAAGGACCAATAAAAATGCCAACATGACTTCTAATTGCTGTCTAATTGAAAGTGAACTAAAAACCAAACTTGGTAACAACTTGGCTTATAAACCCCACAATTATTGGCTCGCTGACCCAGCGGCAATAATTAATTGCAACGCTCTAGGCTTGTTGAACATGCTCCTCTGTTTGCAGAAGTCAAGAAGTCGGGTTACATTTGTGTCAAGTCGCTCGAGATAATTGGGAAGTGCCCCTGTCAATATTTAAGGTAAAATTCAAAGATAAAGAAGATATTTAAGTGGCACGCTATGCTTCATGTTGGGCAATCAGTGTTTAAAGGCCGTTTTATTTGTTATTGATTTTAGTGGGTTAAGGTCGTTTTCTAGTGTTTTCCATTCATTTTGTTTGAGAACATTAACGGATTAAGAAAGCAAGATTATCTAATGAACAATAAGCTCTACAGAATAATATGAAGAGCATGAGTTTATATTTAGCATTAAGGTTTTGTTCACATCCCAGCTTTTTACTTTTGATAATGTTTACAGAAGTTAATAAAATTATCAGTAAATGCAAATGGGTTTTTTTTCCAGCACCACAATGCTGCATATGAGTTATCAATTTTAAAGCTTGCAATGACATTGCATTTTTTTGCCAAGCGCTTTGTACTTCTGTTTGATTATATATCGTTCTTTGGTCCAAGTGTTTTACACGGTTTTTCCAAGCTTTAAACTTGGTTCAATAATTTTGCTCTTTCTAAGCCCCTTAAGCCACTTTTGTTTATTGGTTGGCTGTTGGGTTACAAATACATTTTAAAAAGTACAGATCTAAAATTTCTGCAATAATAATTTTTCATTTATTAGAGATTGGTTTTGGTTAAATAATACAGTTTGTTAAACGTTTTATTTCGAATTAAAACATTTTTATCACTAAAAAAGTATTGCCATCTAAAAAGGAAGGGCTGCTCCTTTTTAAATTTGGTTTAATTTGGTAATTAGCTGATTGTCTCAGTCACTCATTGTTCTCAGTTTAATTAGGTGACACACCTGTGCATGTACGTGTGGCATCGCAGATTGCAGCACTCCTCAGCCCGGGAGCACTAAAATATAAATATATATCGAAAGTGAAAGTTGGTCAAATTGATGATGTAGTTTTCTTACCGGATCCCCGACATTCCCGCATTCTGCTGCTGATCCTTCAATTGGACCGAAACCAGCCCTTGGTTTAAAATCGTAAACATCATCCGATGGATCTGACTCACTGGGAAGACCAACAATTTGCACGTGCTCGTTGATACCTTTAACTGGTTTAACTGGTGCTTTCACCACATCATAGATTTGGTTTGGAGAATAGGGAACTGGGTAGGGCATGTCCACTCTACGAGCGCACTTGTAAAGGTAGGTCATGCACTTTCCCGAACAGCAATCTGAGTGCATTTGACACTGCAATGAAAATTGGATTTTTAATAGACAATATTTAATTATATTAACTTAGAAAACTTACATATCCCTCGATTGGCTGACAATTTTTACTTCCCGAATCCTGGCGTGCAGCCACATAGCCCAGGATGCACAATAAAAGTCCCAAACGGGCAATCGTAGGAATCATCGACATCTTTACTCTGGCAAAGTTAAGCTTCAACTGACGCATTCGGCTGTGGGATTGCAAAATATAAACGATCTCGATTTTGCGAACGAAGCGCTCAGGGAACGAAAGCAAAATGACTAATAGCATGGCGGTATTGTGACTACCAGATACCGTCTAATTTGTTTTCTTCATTTTCATTCTTGTTTACTTTTTATGAGTCCAAACTAATGACAGGTCGGAAATATGCGTAATCAAGAAGGTAAAGTATGAATAAATCAATATTTATCATCAAAAGGGCTGAGTGTTTCAATAATGATAAAAGTAAGGTTTCGAAGAACTGTATGAGCTGATATAAACTAAATTGAACAAAGATCTATTAAGATATGCTTATTATCATCACAGCGATGTATTTAATTCAATGGAATCTTTTGCAAACAAAAAAAAAAATAAATACCAAAAATAAAAATATATAAATAAATCAAAAGTTATTCAATAAAAAATATATCCAATTGTTTTCATTCCACTTCCTTTAGTTTAGCTCTAAAATTAACGATCAAATTGTATATATTTATAGCGGTTGATAAAAAAAAGATAACGATTAAAATTGTATACAGTGAACGACTTATAATTTGTATTCAATAAATATGTGTTATTAATAAGTAAAACATCGGTAAACATCAAGGAATACTAAAAACCAATTATCTTAAAACTACAGACACAAAGTAAAACTTGAAATACAAAAAGGTCAATCGTTGTTTAATTTTTAATACATATAAAAATGCTGCTTAATATTTGTAAGGTAAAACGTTATAAATTAATTGAACACCACTCGGATGACTCGAGAATTTAATGGCAAAAACAAAAGAACGAGATATTCTTGTAGTACATGCAGATATTGACGTTCTTCAAGAAACAGGTTATTGATAGTAGGTACACATAATACTAATTAGGGGTTGATTGTGTTTATCTCTCGAAGCATTTGAACTGGAAAGAAGTACGGGTATACCCGAAGGGTTGTGCACCGGCACCTGTTATGGAAAAAGAGTGAGTGTTGGGTGGAAAGCCCGCATCGTTGGGGTGTGTTGTTGGTGTGTGTGTTTGTTAGTGTGCCAAGGACCGCACCGTGACCTGCTCAATGCCGCTCCCTTTCGTCGAGTGGAAGACCCACACTCCAGCCAGAGCATTGAGTGTGTTTGAGCACTCAGAATGTATAGTAAGGTATTCTCTTATACGAGTGCCCATCGATCAGCCGTCCGGTCTTATCTTATCGGGACTTCAGAGGCTTTAGCTTTAGCTATAACCGCCGGCGTGCTCGACAACGCCGCTCAGTCGAGTTTCGGTTGCCAGGGCGCGAGCAAATACAAATTATCGATCCGGTCCGCGTACCAAGTGTCACCATGATCACGCCGTTGTCTGGACTGCCGCTTTTGGGTGCTTTTCTGGTGACCCTGGCCCTGGTGGTCAGCGCATCATCCGTGCCCCAGCGGCATCGTTCCCTTCGCCTGCCCAACGAAACCTATCCGCTGTTCTACAACCTGCACATATCCAGCGATATTCACAAGGGCGTACTGCTCTTCAGCGGAAATGCCACCATTGACGTAGCCATCCGGCAGTCGACGAATGAGATAGTGCTGCACGCCAAGAACCTGTCCGATATTCAGATTAATGTCCATCAGTTGATGGATAATGGAGGCTTTGAGATCGTGGACAACCTTACTCATACGCTGCATCGTTCGGCGGCCTTTCTCATCATCCATCCGATGGAGAATTTCCAGGCCTTCGAGGCGGGTCAGCGTTACCGCCTAGAGATTCTGTACACGGCCATTATGACAACACGTCCCGCGGGTCTTTACTACATGGATTATAGCGAAGAGGAGAACAACCGCCCCGCGTGAGTAGTTTATCTTTCCCAGCAACAGTGTTGGGGTCAGAAAAGATTTGCAATAGGGAATAAATGTGGCTTCAGCTTAATGGTAATGTGGCAAGTCCAGGAAAAAAGTTATTTATATCTTTGTCAAAACTATTTTTTGGTAGCCTTTTTAATTTAATTAAAAAAAAAATGTATTTAAATTAAAATTACTTGTTTTCTACATTGTGCCAATTCTGGAAATTCTTATCATGTTAATACATATATTAAACTTTGATCCCCCGCAATATATACAAACTAAAAGATACTAAAAGTACGCAGGGAAATACCCATTTAAAAGGCAAACGTTCACTTATTTTATAAGTAAATTCCTCTTACACAACAGATAATAGATTCGCCGTGCACTTTGTGTTGGTCACTTAACTTTGCCTACGCTCTCACTTTTATTTTGTTATTATTTCCATTTGTTTGGCTTTGCCTTTTAATTACTTTGCTGGCGTGGTGGGTCTTTATCGCTATCAGGCGTATATATATGCTATATGCTCATCGCATATGGCAGAATCGAATCGGTTGATCCGAGAGCGCGTCACTGGGGTGACGATGTAAACAAAACGACACACGGGGCCCGAACTACTGAGATTTCTTTATAATGGGGCATGATTGTGTCGGCAATTAGGAGTCACACCTTATCAAAAATATAGTGAAACGACAACCAAAACGAACAGCTATATGCATTGTGTAGTATTTGGTGTCTTACTTATGTTAAGTTCGATTAACTCGATTTGTTTTGATTTCGATTGGGCAACATATTCGCATGACCCAAGTTTTTGGCACTGGATGGGAATAACGAGACTCGATTGTTCCGTGGAAGTGAGAGCAGGTTCTTAATGTGATTGATCATTGATCATTCCGGCTGCCGCAGGCTGTGACTGGTTTTTTTGCTTAGCGTTCAATGATCTGAAAATGGGACTGGGAATTTTTGGACTGAAATGATTTTGTTTAATCATAAATCGTAGGCAGACAGCAATTACACTTGTCAACAAACTGTGGTCTTTAAGTTTAATTAGTTAATGGGGTTTCCACACAAGTTGAAATTGAATTGTTTATTATTAATGATTTGATTTCCTTTATTAATTTAAATTATCCTATAGATTTGTAGCCGCCACGCAATCGGAGCCGACATTTGGGCGTCTTATATTTCCCTGCTACGATGAGCCCGGAATCAAGTCTAATTTCAGCATAAAGATAACACACGGCAGCAGTTATTCAGCCATATCCAATATGCCAGTCAAGGAAATATTAGCTCATGGGTAAATAGATAACTTAAGCTATTTAAAATATTTATTAACTTTGAATTCTGTTGCAGTGATTTAAAGACCACCTTGTTTCACACAACCCCACCAATATCCACCTATCTCGTGGCATTTGTCATTTCCTATTTCGAGAGCACATCTGAGAAATATCGAGGAGTCACGCAAAGTATCTACGCACCGCCAGCTTCCAAGGAGAAGGGTCAAAGTGCATTGAAGAATGCAGTGCGAACGGTGGCTGCATTTGAGGATTATTTCGGAATTTCCTATCCCCTGCCAAAACTAGATCATGTGGCGCTTAAGAAGAACTATGGAGCTGCCATGGAGAATTGGGGCCTAATTACATACAAGGACACCAGTTTGCTAAAGAACACCACCTTGGATCCACGAAATCCCTTGTGGGATAGGATCACCCAGAACCACGAGATTGCTCACCAGTGGTTCGGCAACTTGGTTTCACCGGAGTGGTGGACTTACACTTGGATGAATGAGGGATTTGCGACTTACTTTGGCTATGTGATCACAGATTTGGTAGGTGATTTTTATATTCTAGATTCAAAGAAGCTACAAAGCGATATTCTTTATACAAAAGAAGCAGACTTTTTAATTTAAAAATTTCGTATACACCCAAAAAAGAAATTATCATACAAACTAAAATATTGTTACAAGATTTTTAAACTAATAGATACGAAAAGGTCTCAATAAGAATATTTTATTTAATTAATACCACGAAAACTAATATGAAGTACTGATACGAATGAGTTTGCCATGTTAATCAATACTTTTGGTTGAACAAATGATGGGTAATAAATGTTATAAATTGATTTTATAAATTAATAAAATTAATAAAAGTTTTAAATTGATACAATACATTACACTCGTTTCAGCTCTACCCCGAGTACAAAGTAATGGAGACTTTTGTGGCCCATGAGGCTGATAGTGCCTACAGCTATAATAGCTTCTTTGACGTCCGTCCGATGTCCTCGTACGTGGAGAGTGAAAAGGATATAATGGGAGTCTTTGACATTATTTCCTACAAAAGAGCCGCCTGCGTGATCAGGATGTTCCACCACGCCTTCCGCCAGAAGGTCTTCGTGCGAGGCATCAGCCACTTTCTGGAGAAATAGTAAGTTTTAGTGAATGTCGCATCGAACTGGTCAATTGGAACTCATGGGCCAAGGTCCTCTGCTCTTTCGCCCAGTCGTTACAGTGCGGCCAACGAGCTGAACCTCTTCGATGCCCTGCAGGCGGAGCTCCAGGAGGATGAGTACTTCTCGCAGAAGTCGTGGGCCTCGCGGATAAGGGAAATTATGCTCTCCTGGACGCACAGCGAATGGTTGCCCATTCTGGTGGTGAAGCGGAATTATGAGAACAATACCATAACATTTAGCCAGCGATCGGTTCACTCCAAGGACGAGCTCTGGTGGATACCCCTGAACTTTGCCACCGAACAGTCGCCCAATTTCGAGGACACCCAGGTGGACATATTCATGCCACCCCAGGCGCAGTACTCTGTGCCACTGGAAGATCTTAATATCCACCTGAGTGGCAGGGATTGGATTATAGTGAACAAACAGCAGACGGGTTTCTATTTCGTCCACTACGATACGGACAATCTAATGGCCATTGCCAGGCAGCTGCAGGCCAATCATTCCGTCATCCATCCAGTAAATCGAGCCGGACTCTTCCGTGATCTTAAGCCCCTCATCGAGCACAACGAAATCGAGCAGGTGGATGTGGTGTTTGAAATGCTTAAGTACCTGGAGCTCGAGGAGGATATACTGACCTGGAATGAGGTGGCCGATTCCATCGATTGCCTGTCGCAAAATCTGTTTGGCACTTCATCGCAGAAACATTTCAATGAGTTTGTGCGCCGCCTGGTCACTCCGATATTCAGACGAGTCTATGTGGACCAGACTGCGAATATTTCCCTGGATCGGGGTAATAGGATACTACACATGGCCTGCTTAGCGGATCTTCCTGAGTGCCTGGAATACACTCGCCGTCTGGCCAAGGAGTATATTATCAATAAAATCAATCTAACCACAGATTCGGAATACTATGGCACATACGACACTGTTTTGTGCATGGGTGTACGATACCTAAGCGATCGCGACTTTCACAGGGTAATCGATGTGCTGAAGGCAGCGGATCGCGGATCGGAGTACTACGATGACATGATTTATGCCCTGCGGTGCACTCAAAGTCATCGCCACCTTTTGCACTATTTGGAAGTCCTCCTGGGCGAGAGCTCCTCGCACATGATCCTTACCGAACCCGAGGCCATGATGTATATCCTCTATGTGTTCAAGTCGAGTCAGTCGACGCGACCAGTCATCTGGCAGTATATCGATCGCAACTACAGGCTGGTCTGCCGATCGCCAAACTTTGTGGAGGACTTCAATCAGATCGCTGAATTTGTGCCCAGACATCAGAGGACACATGTAAGTAGTAACATCCAATCCTAATCATATTGTTTTCAATGTGCTATTACAATTTTTAATTTGTTTAAAAAAGAGGGTAAATTTAATAGACTTTTATTTTTACTTTTTTCTCCAAAGTATTTTCTACAAAGTCAATAAAAATTAGTCAAAGTGAAAAATAAATGAAACCGTAAGCCCTTGTGTATACAAAATGTATAAATCTAGCCAATTGGAAACAAAATTTATATACATCAGTAGATTAGAAATCAATAAATACTATGAAAAAAATAAGTTAATAAGTTACAAATATAAAGATTTAATTTTATAACACTCCACACAATATTGAAGAAAATAATTTTTGGTGTATGTCATCAAGTTAAAAATCAATTTAAAAATGTATAGTTAGATTATTATTTTTGCAGACTATGTGAGTTCTGATTCTAAGATTTACCTATGGAAATATTTGTTGCAATTCATTAATATATAATTTTCTTAATTTTCAGTTTGAAAGGCTGCGCCAAACCATTGCAGATTACATGGAACTGGAGGGCATTAAATCGAACCACGCACTGATCAAGTCCGATTCTCCGCTGGTGGGCAAAAAGGTGAAGATCACCGAGAACTTCCAGGACAAGTTCGAGACGCAGATCCACAGTTGGCTACTGGGCGAGGTTCCTCAGTTGACTAGCAGAAGTGAAGACCTTTTGGCCGCCTCCCTCAGTGCGGCAAATGGATCGAACCGGCCGCAAGGTATCCTTAAGGATGCCACTCGCGTGGTGCGGACTGCGTTACGAATGATAGATATGTATAGATGATTACGATTGTTGGTATCTAAGGACTGCATAAGTACAAGCTTAATTACAAATAAATTAATTCTTATAAAACAACAGAGTTAAGTCGTTATCAATTAAAAGGAATGAGCTTTTCACCACTCTTTGAATCAACGTAGAGACTTCTGTGGTGAATTGATAAGCACAAAATAAATGAAAAGTCATCGGCAATAAATGGTCATCTGATCTATAGCCTTTTTTATATGACAAGCTTTGGTAAACAGTATTTGCAGGCTTTTTCAAGAAACTATAAAACATATTTGTATTGACCTATAAATTCTGTTCTCATTGTAAACTGCTGGCAAACTGGTTAAATCTGTAAAAGTATTATATATATATTTTTGGAGAAACTGTTAAATAAAATTGTGATGCTGTTACTGAAATAAATTAAATTATTCGTTTATTTTGTTATTTTGTTTGGAATGTAATGTACTGTTTAATGTCCTGTAATATTTGGTTAACTTACAGTACCTTGTTTATTAAATTGAAGAATTTTGTGTATTTATAGCGGTTTCGATAACATTCCTATGACTTGTTATTTTTTCGGTGCCTTTTAACTCTTAAAGGTTCCAGACGAACTTTACTGCGCAGTTACGTACCTAAAACCATATAATAAGAATATTAATTTGATTAACAATCCTCTGCTAATCGGGCTACTGAGTCATATAAATAGTGAGTCACCGGGGAAGGTACTTATAAATTTAGTACTTTTTATTTATCGGTCAGATCGCCCAAAAACTAGAAGCACTTGAAGTATTCATGCACCGACTTGAGAACCCCAGACTAGCTGATATTCGAACGTTTTACGGCTCAATTATACATTAAGTTTTGCCAATAGCGGGCGATTTCGCCGGTTTTATCTAGTGTTGCGCAACAATCTTTACGGCGATCGTCGATTAGGATAAGATACGGAGTAGTCCATAAATAAGCCGTGTCCGAGCGGCGACCCACCACTAACCGAAAGTGCCTTTCTTGGAGCAGCCGACATGACACGGTGGCTGCTGAATTCCTGTGTCCTGCTGCTGTTGGCAGTGGGCAGTCTGCAGGCGCGTTTGATCCCTCCATTGTCCTTGGACGATGGTCAGTTGGAGACCAAGGGTGCCGCCGCCCTTCTTGCCACGCCCCGCGTGGACGACAACAGTGCTGGCAACTATCGACTCCCGAATACCACGGCACCGGAGTCCTACAATGTGGAACTCTGGACAAATGTCCACACTGGCAACACTCAGTTCAACGGCACCGTTATTATCAATCTGAGGGTCCTGCAGGCTACCTCGGAAATAAAGTTGCACTACCGGCAAACGTCGAACTTCGAGGCATCGATCATCAGCCGGGATTCGGCCACGGCCACGGCAATCCCACTCACCGTGACCCCTGAACTGCCGCGCGAATTCCTCGTCCTTACGGCGACCAGTGGAGCGACCTTTGCCGCCGAAACCAACTGGACACTGACCATCAAGTACAATGGCACCCATCGCAGCGACATGGGCGGTTTCTATATCTCCAGCTACACGGGTGATGATGGCAAGCAGCAGTAAGTAGCACAAGTGACCTTAAATAAAGGACTAAGATCCATTTATTCAAACAAATCACTGGAAAAGTATATGTAATTGAAAAAGTTTGTTGAGTGCTTAAAAAAATTGGTAAATTTGCATTGATCTAAACTGTATTTTTGAGAGTTAAGTGTTAAAGATAAAAAATTATTAAGTGATCCAAAACTAATATTGCTCTAGTAAAAAGTTATATAAAACAAAAAATTTGTTTTAAGAAACCCCTTAAAAATTGAATTCTAAATCTGCCTCTAAAGTGGGTTATACATTTTATTTCCAAAAGATTAACATTTTTCGAGTGATATCAAATAGCCATAGCAATTTGTACTTGACTTACTTTTTATTGGATTTAGAGCATGTACCTGACTTGCTAGTGCTTATCGAACAATTAATAACGATTGCGCTTGACTGGGTACTTTCTGTTTGTTGCATTATCTATAAACCCAATTTGGCTTATCTTAATAATCGTATATTAGAGCGGTAACATGTGACATGACAAGTACAGTGTGATTATCGTTTTAAGTAGAAAATAATGATTTTGAACTTTTCCTTCAGCTTCCTGGCCACCACGCAGTTCGAGAGCACCAATGCCCGTCATGCCTTCCCCTGTTACGATGAGCCAGCCAGAAGAGCCAACTTCACCATCACCATTCATCATGATCCTTCCTACACGGCCATCAGCAATATGCCTGTGAACGATTCTGCCACCAGGTTGGTATTATAGAAGTTTTAAAAAATTAATTGAAAAAAAATTTCTCCTATTCAGTGCTGACAGTACAACAAATATTATTAAAAATAAATACAATTCCTTCTATAAACTATGTATTATAGAATTTATTGCAATAAAATATAGAAATAGAAGAACATTTTGTCTAGAAAACTGAAGAAATGTTGCGTAAGAAGACTGCGAATAAGACCCAAAATACTCATACGCACTGTTGTCAATATGACCAATATTAGGAAACCGTAGATTACAAATAAATATTAATCCTTATTTATTTTAATAATTTAATTTAATTTTAATTATGTTTTTAATGATCTTCCCCTATAGTTCTGGAATTACTGTTTTCCAAACAACACCAAAGATGTCCACCTACCTGGTGGCCTTCATTGTGTCCGATTTCGAGTCCACCACCGGTGAACTCAATGGCCTGCGCCAAAGGGTTTTCTCGCGCAAGGGAAAACAGGATCAGCAGGAGTGGGCACTTTGGTCTGGATTGGTTGTGGAATCCAGTCTGGCCGGCTACTTCGGAGTTCCCTTTGCCCTGCCCAAGCTGGATCAGGCCGGCATTCCGGACTTCTCGGCCGGAGCCATGGAGAACTGGGGCCTGGCCACGTACCGCGAGCAGTACATGTGGTGGAACAAGCAGAACTCGACGGTCAACCTGAAGACGAACATTGCCAACATCATTGGACACGAGTACGCACACATGTGGTTCGGCGATCTGGTCTCCGTGGAATGGTGGACCTATCTCTGGCTCAAGGAGGGATTCGCTACTCTCTTCTCGTACGAATCGAATGACATTGCCTTCCCCGAGTGGGACACCTATCAGATCTTCCACGTGAACGACTACAACAGTGCCCTGCTTAACGATGCGGCGACCTATGCCGTTCCCATGACGCACTACGTCCAGACACCCGATGAGATCTCCGGCCGGTACAATGCCTTCTCGTACGCCAAACCCGCCAGCGTTCTGTACATGTTCAAGAACGCCTGGACGGACAAAGTTTTCCGCACCGGACTAAACAAGTACCTGACCAAGAAGTAAGTACCAAGCTTAAGTTTATGTGAGTTTACTCATTTGACAGGCTTCATTTCAAGAATGTTTTTAGAACTTTACATTGTAAGCAACCAAGATTAAAAATTATACAGTTTTATATATCACCTACAATACCCATACATTTAGATGAAAAAATTTCTAAAAGTATTAAAAGATTTGTTCTGTGATGATGAACAAGCTGTAAAAAAACGTATAAAATGATTTATTTGATTATTTTATTAATTATATAAGCACAGTGTCTTTTGGCATGTTTAAGACTCTAACGCAATTTTTATTAAAAATGTATATATATATATTATTTCAAAATGAATACTACAAAATCCATCACATGTTACGAGAAATTTTATACAAAGGACCATGAGGATATATATGTAAATTTAGTAATTTTTGCATGTCTCTCATATTTTCTTCCGTTTAGCAAATACACCTCCTGCGAAGAATGGGACCTGTTTGCCGCCTTCCAAGAGTCAGCCAACGAATTGGGTTTCAAGCTGCCCACCTCTGTGGACAACATCTTCAGCAGCTGGTCCCACCAGGCTGGTTATCCACTGCTTACCGTGACCCGAAACTATGAGGCTGGTACCTTCACCATCACCCAGAAACGCTATTTGGCAAATGCAACCAATGACAATGCGGCAACGTGGTATGTGCCCATTAACTTTGCCACTGCCTCCAAACCCGACTATCGCAACACGAAGGCCTCTCATTACTTGCTTAATGTGACAGAGACCGTGATTTCGGACTCCCAGATCGCCAGCGATGACTGGCTGCTGCTGAACATTCAGAATGCCTTCTACTATCGCACCCTGTACGATACTCAGAACTATGGACTTATCACTGCAGTGCTGAAGTCCCAGCCCTGGAAGATCCATCACCGTAACAGGGCTCAGCTGCTGTACGACACGTACATCTTTGTGACCACGGATCGCCTGAGTCACAGCATCCTGTTGGAGCTGCTCGGCTATCTGGAGCACGAGGATCAGTATGCACCCTGGTCCACTGCCAACACTATTCTGACTTCCTACGATCGTTACTTGCGTGGCGATGATTCCTATCACCTCTTCCAGATGTTTGTGCATCGACTAATCGATCCCATCTTCGATAAGATCGGAGTGAACGAGATTCCCGGCGAGCACTATTTGAACAACTATCTGCGCGTCGTGCTGGTCAGCTTGGCCTGTCAGCTGGGAAGCGTTGATTGCCACAGACAGTCTGCCACGAAACTGTCCGAGTACCTTTACAATGGCACTGCCATCGAGGCCACTTTGAGGAACCAGGCCTACTGCGCCGGTCTGCGAGCCACTTCCAATGAGGTCTATAAGAGAGTGGAGTCGGATCTGCTGGCCTCCACGGATGGCACCGATCGCAACCTTTTCATATTGTCGTTGGGCTGCTCAGAATCTACGACGCAGCTGCTTGAGTTCTTCAACCTTTCCCTGGATACCACCAACAGTTTGAGCTACTCGGAGCGCACTTCCCTGCTCAATTCGGCATATTCGCGAAGTGAAATCGGACTCACTGCCAGTTTGGAGTTCCTGGAGACCAGCTGGGAGGCTTATGCCAAGCTTTCGAGCACTGCATCAAAGCCTCTGGACTTGGCCCTGCGTGGTATGGCCACCTATGTGGTCAGTGAGAAGCAGAAGACAAGGGTAAGTTTTAAAGATTTATAAGGAAGGGAAAACACTAGGGTTTGAAATTACTTAAAAGTGTGCCAAAAAGTATGCAAGGAAAATAAGGTAAGTCGCCTTTCATTGTACTTTAGTATTAAAATATATTGCTGCAAACTTTTAGGCACCTTTATACAAAATTTCAAATCTTTAGTGCCTTTTGGGTCCTCCTTAAAACTTATTAGATTGAACGAAATACTAATTTATTATTTAACAGCTCAACGCCTTGGTCGAAGTTGTAAACTCAACTGCTCCCGAATATCTCGCCGATAATCTAAGCACCGTTATTGACTCCAGAATTGAAGCAAACTTTGTTTGGCTGAATACCAATCGTGATCCTGTGCTCAACTGGATCGCCGACACCTTCCGAGAAAACAGCAGTCCCACTTTGACATCGTCCTTCTTCACCATTGTAAGCAGTGCTTTGGCACTGCTGCTGTTCAAGCTACTTTAGACTAAGCCATGTGGTCAAGTATTAAACATAAATTCAGTAGTATAACATGAGTCACTATTAAAGATTGTGTATTAATAGGAGTTAAAATGGAATCCCCTGGTGGGGGAAGTTCAAAGTTCCGTGGATGGCATTTCGAATTGATTGGTTTATGGCTCATGGATGCCACACTTCGTGCTGGTCAATCTTATCACAATTCTGCGAGTGCCAGTGTTGTTGATAAGGCACTGATAGTTGAGCTTAGGACGAAATTCGATTATCAGGTGGATATTTACAATGGCGGAATTGGTTTATAGAGTTCACGTGTCCAAACCAGATAGAGATCCAGAACCTTCAAGAACGGAACGCCATGTTGCACTCTTAGTTTCAGTATACCTTTTGGGGTTTAACCCAATCGATGCCCATTTGATTGATTGAATAATGTTTAGTGAGGTATTCCGCTCCCAATGGATAAATGGTCTGTTCTTTATCTCAAGAGCAAGTGTTGAAGAGTCTTTTAAACTGAAATGCTTAGGGGGCTATATATTTCGCAACCATATCAGCAAGTTAAATGGGTACGCTTGAACCTAAGTAACTTCTAGTTACTTGTTTGAAATTTAAAACTGTTTTTACTAGCTGATAAGCAACAACATTGACTAATTAAATTAAGTTTTAGAGTAGATTAGGACCACACTTAAGAAGTGATTGGAACCTTTTAAAGTCAGCCAACTTTTATCAGATCAAGGGCAGTCCATATATGTACACTTGAGACTTTTATCAACGTGTCTATCTTGAAATGTTCACACCTATTTGCCATTATCGTAGACGTGATTGTTACCAACCATTGCGAAAAGACCTATTCATGGGTTTTCAGGGGTATTAGAATAGTTGATTTACTACCAATAGAGTTTTTACTAGCTAATGGTCATTCTACATGTAAGATTAGAGTAATCTTTATGCCTGCTCCCGCAGATAAGATGAAGAGTCTCGTTTAAAAGTGGCTGGAGTGGAGTAGGCTGGTTTAGTCTTGCCGCGTTTTCGCCATGAGTCGCGTTCCAATCGGTGGCATGTCCCTGTTGCTGGTCCTTTTGGTGGCCATATCGGCCACCCAGGCGGCCGTGGTGCGCACCTTCCCGCCCTTCGAGCAGCTCCAGAGCCTGGAGAATCCCAACCTGCGCGCGGTGGTCCCCTTCGCCGATGAGGATAACTACCGACTGCCCAACGACACGATCCCCAGCCATTATGCCGTGACCCTGACCACAAATGTGCACACTGGAGAAACTGCTTTTAGTGGCACCGTGGCGATTACCCTGGACGTGGTCGTGGCCACCACCAAGATTGTGGTTCATGCCCGCCAGCTGGAAAACTACACGGCCACCATTATTCAGCAGGGTGTCGCGAATGCCGTGGCCCAGGAATTGGAGTTCGAGTACGAGGCTGCCCGCGAGTTCCTCACCTTCAGCAAGACGGGTCTCACCTTTGCGGCCAACACCAAGTGGATTCTGACCATCAACTACCAGGGTCATCTGCGCACGGACAACGGCGGCTTCTACCTGTCCACCTACACAGACGAGGCGGGCAAGACCAAGTACCTGGCCACCACCCAGTTCGAGAGCACCGACGCCCGCCACGCCTTCCCCTGCTACGACGAACCCTCGAAGAGGGCCGAGTTCACCATCACCATCAAGCACGATCCCTCTTACAATGCCATCAGCAACATGCCCGTGGACGAGGCTGCCTCCAGGTTGGTATTTAATTGCCTCTATATTTGATCTTTATTTGTGAGAGTGCTTAATTTGAACCCCTTATAGACATTTTTAAGTATTTCCTCACTTTAAGCTGAGGCCCTAAGCCTTTAGTTTAGCATTGACAATTATGAAACTTTCACTTTAACCTCAAACTATAGGGTCGAAACTTAAAAATCTGTACAAAAATTATAGTCCTTGTTTTAGTTACTTAGAAATGCACACAATAGAAACGATTTTTGGTAAATTAAAATTTGGAAGTATTAAAATATATTCTATCTTGTACTAAAGTTCGTAAGACGCCAGTTTTCTATATTTTTTACCTTATTGGCTTTTAAACACATTTAAAAGGAGTGCCAGTTAAGATGAAATATTCTGATTTAGTAAATACAAATCTGGCTATATAAATTATATTTCTAATATAATGTACTATATATTTATTATTTCAGCTCTGGGGTCACTGCCTTCAAGAAGACCGTGAACATGCCCTCTTACCTGGTGGCCTTCATCGTCTCCGAGTTTGTCTACTCGGAGGGCGAACTGAATGGTCTGCCACAGCGCGTGTTCTCCCGCAAAGGAACCGAAAACGAACAGGAGTGGGCCCTGACCACCGGAATGCTGGTGGAGAAGCGCCTGTCCGACTACTTTGGAGTGCCCTTCGCTCTGCCCAAGCTGGATCAGGCTGGAATTCCGGACTTTGCCGCCGGGGCCATGGAGAACTGGGGCCTGGCCACCTATCGTGAGGAGTACCTGCTGTACAACCCAGTGAACTCGACCATTAGCACGCAGACCAACATTGCCACTATTGAGGCTCACGAGGATGCCCATATGTGGTTCGGCGATCTGGTGGCCATCGAATGGTGGAGTTACCTGTGGCTCAAGGAGGGTTTCGCCACTCTCTTCGAGAACCTCGCTGTCGATTTGGTGGGTTTCAATTGCAGTTGTTCTCTATTATGTGTGCAATCTATAATAACCATTCATCCAATCCAGGCCTATCCCGAGTGGGACATTTTCCAGACCTTCCATGCTGGCTCCTACCAGAGTGCTCTGGTCAATGATGCCAGTTCCAATGCCCGTCCCATGACCCACTTCGTCCAGAAGCCCTCTGAGATTGCCCTGCTGTATGACTCCGTTTCTTATGCCAAGGCTGGATCCGTTCTGGACATGTGGCGTCATGCCCTTACCAACACCGTTTTCCAGCGTGGTCTGCATAACTATCTGACCGATAAGTAAGTTAAGAGTGCTTTCTGCTTCTGTTAACCTTACTAATTTGTATTTTGTAAACCCATAAAGTCAATTCACTGCCGCCAATCCCACTAAGCTTTTCGAGGCCATTGCCAAGGCCGCCATGGAGGAAAACTACCCCGTGCCCGCCACTGTGGCCAATATGATGGGAAGCTGGTCCAACCAGGGTGGAGTGCCCCTGCTGACGGTGACCCGTAACTACAATGATGGCTCCTTCACCATCAAGCAGTCGACGTACACCAATAACAAGGACTACACCGACGACAAGCTGTGGTATGTCCCCGTCAACTATGCCGACTTTTCGAATCCCGATTTCCGCAACACTGAGGCCACCCACTATCTGCTGAACCAAACCGAGCTGACCATCGAGTCCCAGTTGGACAGCAGCAACTGGCTGATTCTGAACAAGAAATCCACTGGCTACTACCGCGTCAACTACGATACCGAAAACTGGCGACTGATCATCGGTGGAATGACCACTCGTCCCCACAAGATCGATCCCAGGAATAGAGCTCAGTTGATCAACGATCTGTATAGGTTCACCACCAGTGGCCGTGTGCCCCATGCCACTTTGCTGGAGCTGCTGACCTACCTGCCCCAGGAGGATCAGTACTCCCCTTGGTCGGCTGCCAATACGGTGATCACTCTGTTCAATCGCTATTTGAGCGGAGATGCGGACTACGCCAATTTCCAGTTCTATGTGCGTGCGTTGGTGAGCCAGCAGTACGACAAGTTCGGAGTGAACGATCTGAGTGGGGAACAGCATCTGGTGAAGTACACCCGAAACCTGCTGATCAACATTGCCTGTCTGGCTGGCCTGGAGAGCTGTTTGACCGAGACCAAGGCCAAGCTGACAGCCCTGGTGGAGGATGGCACCGTGATTGAGCCCAATCTGCAGTCGCAGGTGTACTGCAATGCCCTGAAACAGTCCGACGACAAGAACTTTGACTTTGTGTATAACAAGCTGATGAACTCCAACGACCAGGCCGAGCGTCGTCTGCTGATCTCCGCCCTGGGCTGCTCCCAGAACACGGCCCAGCTGGATAAGTTCGTGTCCAGCAGCATTGATGAGACCAATGGCCTGAGGGTGCAGGAGAGGATCACCCTGCTCAGTCCGGCATATTCCCGCGGCGAGGTGGGTCTGCTGGCCTCCGTGGACTTCCTGCAGAAGAACTGGGAGGCGTACGGCAAACTGAACACCGGTTTCGGTGGCGTTAACCCACTGTACAGCGACATTGTGGGCATCTCCGCCTATGTGGTCAACACCAAGCAGAAGGAGGAGCTGCAGAAGCTGGTGGACACCGTCAAGGGGTCCGAGTATGTGCCCACCACGCTGCAGGCCAGCGTGGATGCCAATGTCAATGCCAACAACGCCTGGCTGGAGGCCAACCGGGATCCCCTGATGTCCTGGGTCGACAGTTTCCGCAGCGGCAGCTCCGCCCTGAACGCCTCTCTTTTGGCCCTCTTGGCCTGCCTTCTGGCCGCCAAGCTGTTCTAAAACGTAGATCCCTAAGTTAGTCATAGATTTGCACTCGTGCGCCAATAAATTTGAACTAATTCCCTATGAAACTTGTTTGCTTTTTTCAAGAATTTACACGTTTTACGGCCATAAATTGCCTAATCGATAAGCAGCGTGATGATCTCATAAATTTCCTCCTCCAAAAAGTCCAAAACCATAGCTCTTGCCGTCGCAATCCATCGTCCGCAAGAAAGCCATAAATACATCCGTAATCAGCCTTGGCAACTAATTCCCTTAAGTGAGAGGGATTGCCAGATCTTAGACTGTGTTTCCCCAAACGTTAACAAAAAAATCAAGATCTTTCTGGTAAGCCGCGTTTCTAATATAATATTTTGGCGATTGCCTTTATCATCTTAAATGGACAAGAAATAAGAAAAATAATTTAATATATTTACTATTAGGATTAGGGCCAAAAGATCAACAAATTTATGATTCATCACAAAAGGAATATTCTTTTAAAAAAAATATGTTAACAGTCTTGTGACCAAAATAAGTTTTCCTACCAACTTTACTATGCTAGGCCTTTTCATAATCGGATATGTGTAGAAAAGTTATGGCCTTAGAAGTGCTGATATTATGTCACTTTTCTGTATTCCTTTTTAAAATCGGATAACTGTTAGAAAAGTTATGACCTATGACCCTTTTCGTGGATTTGTGATTTACTTTTAACACTCATCAATCAATATTGGTCAAGTGCTTCAGGAAAAAGGTCGTAAAAATACAACTTTGGTACTTTTTTTGTGAGATAGCACATAATATATATTTTTATTTAACCGTTAAGCAACCAATGGTTATAAAACGACAGAATTAATCAGTGAATCATAACAGGGTAAAATATAAGGACAAATAGATTATCGATCAAATTTGGAAGGGCCACTTTCTTAGCTTTAGAATATAAGAACAACCAAATGTTAATCAAAAGTTGACAAAATTTTATAAAGTTGATTATATAATTTTTAAGGGATCTTACCAAGTGTATACAGTCAAAGAGAATTTTAGTGCTTTTAAGTTTAATAAAATCACATATGGAATGCCTCCAAGTATTTTAAAATAAATTTCGTTTTAAAATGTATTTAGCATTTTTGTTAAAAAGTCGACTTCTCTAGTCAGCATGATTTGAAAGATAAAAATTGGGTGTTCAACTTTATTGTAAATGCTTCTCGAAAGACTGCAATTCATGGTTGATAAGGTTGGAGGCACTGCATCATAAAGTATCTAGACTTTAAAGGCAAACAAGCAGTGCATCGAAAATTCAGTGTTATGTCATCGTCTGGCAATATTTGAAAAACGTCGGCGTGGATTGGTAGCCAATGGTGGAGTGTGTAAATCACCGCTATGACTCCCTATCGCTATCGCCCCTTAATCTATAGACCAGGCCAACATTATCTGGGATGAAATAAAACACTAAAGGTTGCAGATAAGCCGCTGATAATGGCCAAGTTCCAAAACGCTCGCCATATATATCGGACCCGAAGCCAGGAGGCATTTAGTTTTCGAACCGAATCGCGTGCCGAGTGGCGTGCGAAACACTAATTCTAGTCCCGGGTCCGCGATCGAACCTTTGAAAAGTGAGTTATTAAGTGGTTACATAAATGTGGATCTTTCTAGTGAATCTTGAGAAATAAATGCTCTAATTGAGGGATAAAACTCTTTCGAAAAGGATTACTTCGTTACTATTAGGTGTAATTTTAAACTGCTCCAAAACCATTTTAAAAAGAACTACTTCGTTCTTTAATTAACACTCAAGTGTAATTATTTAAGGAGCAACGATTCATTAGGACTGAAAACAACTGTAAAGCGTATACCGAAAATATCTCGATTAGCTGTTATATCTTTATTAAAAAAAATGTTTAATCACCTTTAATTTTGTAGGAAAAATGTTAAAGCTTTGATAATATGAACTGGTTGTGATAACCGCTTTTACTTTTAATTTATAATGATATCAGTGGCAACAAGAGTTTTTGCTTTCATTAACATTTCGGTTTTGCATGTATGTATATCTTATACCTTAAAGCTAGAAACATCGGTATTTTTAAAAAAAAGGCATTTTATTTTGCAGAAAAAGGAGAAAAAGCTTTGATAATACAAACTGTTTGTGATAACTGTCTCTTGCAAGCTTTTAATTTATTTTGGTTTCAGTGGCAAAAAGGGGGTTTGAATACTTTTTACCCAATTTAGAAGACAATTTTTTGTAGTTTTAAAGAATACTATTTTTTATATGTTTCCATCAGCAGGTAAAATGGTCGCCCTGCGAGTGGCTGTTCTTCTGGCAGCCTGCGTGTCCTTGGCCTCCGCCGGAGCTCGTCAGCTGGCCGTGGATGTGCAGCCGCCGGTCACTTTGGCCACCGAGCTGGGGGACTACCGCCTTGCGGAACACATTTATCCTGTGAACTACAACATTACCCTGAAACCGTATCTGCTGGAGAGCGATGGCAACAAGAGATTCACCTTCGATGGCGAGGTCTATATCGAAATAGTTCCGAATAAGACCACCTCGGAAGTGTACCTGCACTCGAAAAATCTCATCTATTCGGTCAGCGAGTACTGGCAAAAGCCAGCGGCCGGCGTGGCCAATCCAACACCCACGAAGTTCGGCACCAACGTGACCAACTCTGATACGGATATTGTGAAGCTCCCGACCACCGTCGCTCTGACCGAAAAGACCACATATATCCTGCATTTCGTTTACACCGGTCTGATGGAGGACGATATGCATGGATTCTATCGCAGCTACTATGTGGACGACAACAATGTGACCAAGTGGCTCGGATCCACTCAGTTCCAGACCCACCACGCCCGCCGCGCCTTCCCCAGCTTCGATGAGCCCCAGTTCAAGGCCTCCTTCGATGTCACACTGAAGCGCCACAGGACCTTCAACTCGGCCAGTAACACCCGACTGATCTCATCCTATCCCAGCGGTGAAGAGTAAGCATTTCTAGCCAATTCAATTGAGCTACTTGTTTTTCAATTCTAAGATTTGCCAATATATTAAGCTGTTTCCTTGCTTTTATTTTCTGAAAAACTCCTTAAATGTAGAGCTAACATGGTCAAAATATATTAGGAAAAAAATGATCTTAAAAATTAGCTAAGGTTCTGTGGCCATTTTCCTTTTATTTTACTAAAATTTAGAAATATTTTTCTAAAAGTAGAGCATTTTTTATTTGGACGTTGTAAACATTTTAAATAGTTTTATGCTTATTACATTATTTGCACAATTCTTCAGTACTTTTTAAATGATTCAGAATAGTTAAATGGAAAGATTTTATTATTTGATAGAGTTCTTAGTAAAATGAATTCCCAACTACTTATTTTATATCATTTCGATGGTTCAGAAAAGGTCAATTAAAATATTTTTCAATATTTTTTGTACTCAAATTTAAAGAGATTTTGGTTAAACGAATACCAGAAACTAAACATACTTTATTTGTACAATTCATGAGCTTTTGCTCGATGATTCAGTACGCAAGTATAAAATCTATAAATAATGTTAAAACTTGTTTAAAATAAAATTAGTAGTACCTAAAACTGAAAAAACCAAATTTCGTGGAAAGTATTCAAATACTTTGATTTTGTAACTCCGTTTATAATTTTTTTTTTATTTTTTCCATTTGCAGAGGCTACTATACGGATGTGTACAAAAGGACACCCATAATGTCCACCTATCTGCTGGCCTTCATCATTTCCGAGTTCGTGGCCCGCAAGGACGACAAGTTTGGAGTCTTCGCCCGTCCCGAGTACTATGCCCAGACCCAGTATCCCTACAACGTGGGTGTGCAGATCCTGAAGGAGATGGGTGTGTACTTGGACAAGGACTACTATTCGATGGGCAACGACAAGATGGATATGGCCGCCATTCCCGATTTCTCGGCCGGTGCCATGGAGAACTGGGGTCTGCTGACCTACAGGGAGCGCAGTCTGCTGGTCGATGAGTCGGCCACCACTTTGGCCTCTCGCCAGTCGATTGCTGCCGTTGTGGCCCACGAACAGGCGCACATGTGGTTCGGCGATCTGGTGACCTGCAAGTGGTGGAGCTACACCTGGTTGAACGAGGGATTCGCCCGGTACTTCCAGTACTTCGGCACGGCCATGGTTGAGAAGGATTGGGAACTGGAGAAGCAGTTTGTGGTGGATCAGATTCAGTCCGTGATGGCCATGGACTCCACCAATGCCACCAATCCGCTGAGCGATGAGAATACCTACACCCCTGCCCATTTGAGCCGCATGTTCAACAGCATTTCGTACAACAAGGGAGCCACCTTCATTCGTATGATCAAGCATACGATGGGAGAAGCCTTTTTCCAGACGGCCCTGCAGGAGTACCTCAAGAAATAGTAAGTATTTGGCTATACGATGTTTTTGGCCCATGACTAAGGGTGTCTCATTTCACAGCGCATATCTGCCATCGGTGCCTGAAAATTTGCTGGGTGCCTGGCAGGCCAAGTGGCCAAAGAGTAGCTACAACGACAGCTCCGAGGCCATCTTCAAGAGCTTCACCACGCAGGTGGGCTATCCCTTGGTCAATGCTGAGGTAGCTGCCGATGGACTGACGGTCCGCTTCACCCAGAAGCGTTTCCTGCTGAAGGAGAACGATGGCTCCGATCCCGATCTGAAGTACACCGTGCCCATTTCCTATGCCACCAGTTTTACGACCACCAAGTTTGCCAACTCCACGCCCAAGTTCATCCTGAAGCCAGATGCGACCATGAATGTAATTTTCCCGTCGAAAATCAAGTGGATTGTGGCCAACGTTCAGCAGACGGGCTACTACCGAGTCAACTACACTGAGAACAACTGGCGTGCCATCCACGAGGTCTTGTACACAGCCGACTGGGGCGGCATCCACGAGAACAACCGTGCCCAGATTGTCGACGATCTGTTCAATCTGGCCAGGGCCGGTAACATTTCCTACGACCTCACCCTTGAGGTGATCGAGTACTTGGAGACGGAGACCAATTACATTCCCTGGACGTCGGCCTTTAATGGCTTCAACTTTTTGACCATTCGACTGGGCAATGATACGGCTGACTTTAACAACTATATCCAGCAGCTGACCAGCAAGGCCTACACCCAGCTGGGATTCAATGAGACCTCGAGCGACTCTGCCCTGGATATCTACTTGCGCACCAAGATCCTTTCCTGGGCCTGTCGCTACGGCAGTGCCGATTGCATTAGCAAGGCCAAGAGCTACTTCCAGTCGCTGACCACCGTGCCCAAGAACATTCGCGCCACCGTCTACTGTGTGGGTCTGCGGGAAGGTGGGGAATCGGAATTCCAGGCTCTGTATGAGAAATTCAAGGCCGAGACGGTGGCCACCGAGGAAACGCTGCTGCAGAACTCCTTCGGCTGTGTGAAGACCCAGGCCCTGATCGAGAAGGTCTTCAATTTGATCATCAGCGACGAGATCCGTCGGCAGGACAAGTCCTCCGTGCTGGCCACTCTCTACACTGAGAACAATGAGAACGTGAGCCCAGTGTTTGCTCTGGTCACCCAGAAGCACGAGCAATTGGCTGAGGCGTAAGTATTCTAAACTTGTTTAAAAAACATAGAAAAACCAAATATTTAATACTATTTTCTGAGTATTTAAATTTCTTTGCCATACATTGATTATCTATTTAATTTATATATTAATTTATTTTTTTTATTTCCTCCACAGCATGGGTGGATATTCCGCAGTGGCCACTGTGATCTCCAACATTGCTGCCCGTTTCACCACCCAGCAGCAGTTGGCTGATCTGCAGAACTTCAACAAGCAGAATGGCGCCAAATTCGGCACTTCGCAGGCCACTTTAACCGCCGCAGAGGCGACCGTGGCCGAGAACCTGAGGTGGGCAGCAGACAAACTGCACGTTTTCCGCACCTACCTGTCCAACTACCGCAATGGAAGTGCCATGGTCAACGCCTTCAGTGCCATCAGTCTGCTTTTGTTGTCCCTGGTCACCATGCTGCGCCATTAGGCTTATATTAACCCACGCGGGAACACAGGTGCATTCGGGTCATGAGTACCCTGTTAAGCCATAAAGTATTTCGTACGCTTAGAGCACCCAATAAACTAACAAGCTTTGTAGATAACCGCACCTCGTATATTATTATTATTATTTATATTATTATGGGTATTGGGCAAATCGTTCAGAAACTGGCCGTCGATGGCAACAAAGTTGACAATCTGATTAGCGCCATCGAATGGGGATTGCTTCAGTGCACAATCTTTAGGGGATTTCATTGCCCATTGCTTAATCAAGCGACCATCGTAAAGCTATCAATGTGTATCAAGGCTGTAAAGCTTTTGCGATTATTATGAACTATATTTTGAAAATAACTAGATTATTCAATTTTTAATTGTTTTGGGGTAATGATTCCACTGCCTAGCTTTTCTACAATTCATTGAAGTGGAAAAATCATCAATCAATCAAGGTCTTAACTTTGTAAATCTATAAAACTTATCTGATATTTATTAGGCCATTCATTTCTCTTGGGAATAATAAATTCTTTTTGGTTAAATGAATCGGTCGAAAGTCATTAAATGATATTACATATTATTGCATCGTTAATTATATCTTTTATAGATAGGGATAATTTTCTTATATGGCATTTAATATGAATGATGTTTGCAAAGGATTTTTGTGGGAATGATTCAGTTTGCAATCTTTCGGGGATTTTATTAAAGCTAAAAACGTTTTAGTTCTGATGATAGTAATCTCATATTTTTTGGAAACGATGATGAAATTAATATAATCAGAAGTCATAAATTATTATCGGTAATGTGAACTTATCACACAATATTTATAATTTTTCTAAGAATTATCAATCTAACTATTGTTTCTAACTAAGTTGATTCATTTGAAATTTTTCGGGGAACTCAATGTTACCAACATCATATAATTGTTATCACTTCTTATCGCTAATAATACTAGGAATCATGTTGGACTTTCCACTCTGTTAGTGAATGAATAGTTTTGGGTATTTTTAAATTTTTATCAATTTCAATAACTCACTCAATTGGATAACCCTTTAGAAAATAGTTATTTTACATATACGATTTTATAGCTTTATCAGTTTAAGTATGTACCAAACACTAGATGACTTCAAATTGATATTTTGCACCCATTAAAATAACGGAACTCAATTAATCGTTTAACAATCTATATATCTATTTAGATCGAACCATTGAAATGAAGTAATTAAACAGCAGTCAGTATGTAATTAAAATTAAAATTGTCATTTCGCTTAGGAGGTTATTGAGTGCCCGAAAGCGTGTTGACAGGAATATTATTAATGAGAGGTGTGACGCCTATTCGAAACGCTGGTGAACTTTCCATAATCTAATCATCTGTGAACGACACCTGTTTTTCGGGGGGAACTTTTATTTGGTTTTGTGATTGCGGCGATCTTGTGGTCGAAATCGGAGTCCCCAGTATTCGAGCTTCGGCCGACATGAGCAGTTCGGAATCTCGCAAATTTTGTTTGCTACTCTTGCTGGCGATTGGCGTCGTAAATGGCGTTGATTATCGGCTGGATGGTAGCGTTTTACCTTCGTACTATAACCTGACCATCGGGGTTCTCAGAGACTCCGCCGAGCCCACGCTTTTCGATGGCGAAGTGAGCATTACTCTGCGTGTGGTTGGCCCACTGGAGGTGCAGCAAATCATTTTACACGCCGACACGCTCGACATTTCGGAATGCTGGCTGCTCGATGCGGCAGGTGCGCTGCTGGAGGCCATCGATATCAGCCGGCTGATTTATGAGGCCAGCACCCAACAGGTGAGAGTTCCGCTGACGCAGGTCGTGCAGCCTGGAAGGAATTATACTCTCGGGTTCAAGTACACCGGGAAGATAAGGACCGATATGGTCGGTCTCTTCTCCGCCAGCTATGAGGAGCAGGGCACCAATGACACCAAGTGGCTGGCCCTCACCCAGATGCAGCGCATCAATGCGCGGCTGGTGCTGCCCTGCTTCGATGAGCCCGCCATGAAGGCCAAGTTCCAGTTGCAGATTAACCGGCCTAATGGTTACCAGGCAATTGCTAACACCAAGCTCAAAGAAACCACTTCGGCAAGGTAATTTACAATTTACAAGCTATTAATTTTAATACCAGCAATTCAGAATTCTTTTTTTCTAATTTTTTTATTTGATTTGTTTGATTTTTCTATATCTCATGATAATAATGATTGAAATTCAATAGCTGTCAAAAAGAGAGAAAGAGCATCAGTTTTTTTAAAAAATGAATATTTTTTGTTATTATAAAATGGTTTAATCGTAATTTATATTTAAAAGTCATAAAAAAAAAGTTCAAAGGGTATAAATATTTCTAGATCATTATTATGAAAAAAACCTTTTTTTTATTAAAAATTTCCCAGCCAATAAGAAACACAATTTTCTTAATTTCAGCCAGAATCGTTTTGTCGATCATTTTGAGGAGACCCCTGTGATGTCCACATATTTGCTAGCTTTCATGGTGGCCAATTACTCTGCCCGTGGAAATGTAAGCGAATTTGCTGTGCTGACTCGCCCGGAATTCTACAATAATACGGAGTTCAGCTATACAGTGGGTCAGCAGGTGCTGCCAGCCTACGATGAGTTGTTCCAGCTTCCATATGCAGAATTGGGCAATGAAGTGCTTCAATATGCCAGCTCTCCCAGGTTTCCTCATAACGGCATGGAGAACTGGGGCCTTATTATCTACAGGTAAGAAAGCTTAAATTATTAGTAAAAGTTGGGGAAAGCTAACTTAAATCACTTTAATTTTAAAATAATTTATTTTAAATGTTTCGTGAATTAAAAGCGATGGCGTTTTGGTTCAGGAAGCTGGATACTCCGACGATTGGTCGAATAAGGAGTTTGCCATCCGCATCATTGCCCATGAGACTTCGCACATGTGGTTTGGTGACAGCGTAACCTTCTCCTGGTGGAGTTACTTCTGGCTAAATGAAGCCTTTGCCCGCTACTATGAGTACTTCATGGCACATCAAGTAAGTACCCAAACTGGGTAAATATATTTCAACAGATAATATAAATAATTCCTGGCAGCTCTATCCCGAGTATCACTTGGACGAGCAGTTTGTGGTGCGCCAGATGCAGCTGATCTTTGCAACGGATGCCCGGAACAGCACTCAGCCCATGACAAGTCCGGAATCGGAGATACAGACTCCGTCACAAATTGCCTACAAGTTCAGTGGGATTGCCTATGCAAAGGGAGCTTGCATTGTCAGGATGTGGCGAAATCTCATGGGGGCGCAAAACTTTGATACCGCCATCAGGAATTACTTAAAGCAATAGTAAGTAGATAAATACAGAATTTTATCAACAGATTTAGTGACCTAAAGACACCGAACAACTTTAAATACTGAGTAATTATAAATTAAAAAGTTAATTTTAAAGAATTTATTTTAAATATAACAACAATTAATTAGATTTTAAATTGTTTAAAGCTTGCAGCTTTCCTTAAAAAAATATATGTAACAAAATTTATAAATATAAATTTTTAAATAGTTAAAATAATTTTATGTTTCATCTTTCTTTCAGCCACTTGACAAACACAGTACCCAATAACTTGTTTTACCACCTCTATGAGAACTGGCCAACGGATCAGTATGTGAATCTGGAGCACTTTTTCGCCGACTACACGGAGCAGGTGGGATATCCCATGCTGATTGTGAACATTACCCGTGGAAATCATTTCGTCTATGTGGAGCAAATGCGATTCCTGCTAAATCCTGGTGACGGCAGCAATGCCACACTTAAGTATACAGTGCCCATAACTTATACAACTAATCTGGCGCCAAATTTCGATGACCTCACTCCGAGTATATATCTACACAAGGTCGTGGACGTGCATCAGATGTACTTTGACGATCCCATTGATTGGATTGTGCTTAACCTTAGGCAGTCGAACTACCAACGAGTGTTGTATGATGAAACCCTGACGAAAGGTCTTCAGGTGGCTTTATCTGCACCGAATCACAGCGGAATACCTGTAGAAAATCGGGCCCAGATCATCGATGATCTCTTCAATTTCGCGCAAGTTGGTTATGTTGACTTTGCAGAGGTATTCGAGTTCCTAGAATATCTGAGTAAGGAGGTGGACTATGTGCCCTGGTATGCTGTCTATGAGAACCTGAATTCGGTGGCCAAACGATTAACACCTGAACAGCTGCCCAATTTCCGAACATACCTCTCCGACATCACAAAGGCTGTGTTCGAGAAACTGGGTGTGGGTTGGAGTGCCGAGGACACTCCGCTGGATGTGGCCAATCGGAATAAGTTAGTTAAATGGCTGTGCAGATACCAGGCCAGCGATTGCCGGAACAAGGTTAATGTCCACTACGTAACATCATCTGAGCAACCATCGCCGGATTATCGGGAAACATTCTACTGTGCAGCCAGTAGTAGCGATTTCAATTCGTTCACTTCGGTGTGGGGAAAGTACTACCTTGAAACTCGTCCCAGTGAGAAGAAACTCCTTTGGTCCGCTTGCAGTTGTACCGAGGAATACGAGACCTTTTACTACAAAATGATCATTACGGGGGCGGAAAATGTTGATCAAAAGAAAATTGGCATAGCCCGGTTGTATGAGCAGAATCCCCATCTAGTCGAACCAATTTTTGAAATGGTTACCGCAAACATCACCGAACTGGCTTTATGGTAAGTTGGATTTTGCTTTCAATATTAATACTCAGGTTTATAGTTTAAATAGACAAATGATTAATATTAAAACAAGGGTTTAATGAGAAATGAACTAATATTTTGTTAGAAAAGTTATTGTTATTTGAAAATTAGCATTTCAAAATACAAACTTGACAATTTTCCTGGGCTTAAAACCATACCCATGGAAGTCGAAATTTAATTAAAGTTTTTTAAAGCACTTTCTAAAAATGAGTTTAAATGTTTTGATCCTGTTTTTTTAAAGTGATAAATTAAATCATTTAAAGGAGCTACTAAATTATTGGTTAAAAAAATTAATAACTCCAAATTGTATTTATTTTACATAATATAGAATAGAGTATAGTATAATAAAGTCAATCTCTTTGATTTTAGTTTGGACAGCTGGTCGGATACGGCAGCGGTGATCAGCGACATGGCAGAGTACTTCACCACCAGGCACCAGCAGCAGTTGTTCAAGGACTTCTACGATGTCAATCACCAACTCTTCGGTCAGTCGGAGGCCGTGCTCTTGAAATCCTTGGAAGCGGTGGAGCAAAATCTACAGTGGGCCGAGAAGCGTCTGAACAGATTGGTCCTCTTCCTGTCCCGCAGGAATGGCAGCTCCAGCATGGGAGCCACCTCCATGGTGGTGCTACTGCTGGCTGTGGCCAGTCTTTTGGCCTGGCTCTGATTAGGTAATAAGTTTTGCGAGGAAATAAAGAGATTGCCGCCGTGGTCATGCGCTGCGGGAGAAATGCCTTTTTCGTGTACGCAATTACTAGGCAAAAAGGTTTCTAAGGCGCTTGCTTTATTTTATTTGGCCATAACTCACGCAGTCGAACGGTCATTTTAATGGCATCCGCTGGCCCGGCCAAGTCGGTCTATAAAAGGCCCCCGGCGGCAAGTGGCGCTTTCCATTTCCACGCGAAGGACACTCGCAGTCGGGCCGCCGACGAGATGCTGCGCCACCTGCTCCGCCACGAGAACAACAAGGTCTTCGTCCTGATCCTGCTCTACTGCGTCCTGGTCAGCATCCTGAAACTGTGCACAGCTCAGGCGGATAACTCTGTGGCCGCCACCGATAATGGTAAAGGTGTTTTAGACTACACCCTTGCAGAGGGTACTTTAATTTCACTCAAATGTTAGCAACGCAGTAACGCTGTAAAGTATATATATGGTTCGGTTTGTCCGTCTGTCACTTTCTACGAAACTAGTTTCTCAGTTTTAAGAGTATTTTAATGCAACTTTCCCAAAAGTATTCATTTAATTGCTTTCTATAAGTCCAGAACAGTCTGAATCGAGCGAATTTATCATATAGGCACAGTTGGAAAAATAAACAAACAAAAATACTACGCTATTTTTTAATATCTAGGAATATACTTTGAGATATCAAAATATTTGATATATATCAGAATTACGGCTGTCATGATCAAAAATGTTAGTGGAAATCAAAATCTAAGGAATAGAAAATAATCATAATTTATAATTTTTTAAATAAAAAAATTTTGGACACAGAAAGCTACTAGAAATAATCCAATTTATTTTTATAATTATTTAAAGAGTAAATTTTATTTTATTAATATCTGCAAGGGAACATACACTTTAGTAAGCCGAAGTTTCTTATTTTGTAATACTTTTTCCATCTGAGATACTTCGTTGCCCGTTACAGATATCACGCATTTGGGTGACGATTGCCAGGTAACGCCCGTCATTCATGTGCTTCAGTATCCTGGATGTGTGCCCAAGCCGATTCCCTCGTTCGCCTGTGTGGGTCGCTGTGCAAGTTATATCCAGGTGGGTTTTTTCATTACGTGTAATATAACCGAGAAACCATGTATTTTATAGGTTTCAGGCAGTAAGATCTGGCAAATGGAGCGTTCCTGCATGTGCTGCCAGGAATCTGGCGAGCGGGAGGCAGCCGTCTCGCTTTTCTGTCCCAAAGTGAAGCCCGGCGAGCGGAAGTTCAAAAAGGTCCTCACCAAGGCGCCGCTGGAGTGCATGTGCCGGCCGTGCACTTCCATCGAGGAATCCGGCATCATACCGCAGGAAATTGCCGGCTACTCGGACGAGGGTCCTCTCAACAATCATTTCCGGCGCATCGCTCTGCAATAGATTCCCCATCACTGCTACCATTCATTATAAACATTTGCACATTAAATTAAATTAAATTTGACGTATCTGCTTGTACACAGTGAACTATGTAGTCTTTGATTTCGGGATACCTCAACAATTTTAATAAGAGATTTGTTTCTAAAAAAAGTGTAAGTTCTTCGAACTGCAATCGATTGCAAATGTTATGTTTTAATCATTACTTTCCAGAATTTGCATCGGTTTTGCTCATAACTTGTCCAAAATAAGACGTGCATCTAAAAGAAAGACTGTTTTGTGCAGCTGCCGACCTTAGATTTCAACTCCTATCAATTTTTGAAAAAAATAATTTTTGTCCGCATTTCTTTTGTAAATGGCAATTTATTTGGAATTTTATTACTAGCTTATAGAGGTATGGCATTGCATCCTGGGCTTATTATTTCTAATGCTATGGCCAAAACACTGATTTTTTTTTGGCGCAAATCAGGCTTTTTGGCTTGCAAGTCTGTCATTCGAAAATTGGTTTTTATGTTCAGGATATTTTTGAGTTATTTCGGTAAAAGGAGTATTTTTCAAACGCTTTGAGTTCTTATTCTTTAAATTTAATAAACATTTATTGAGTGCAGGGCTTCGGCTTGTTTAAACTGCCAATTAATCCTTTCTTTACGTTGTCATCTAAAGCTTATCCGGAACACCTGCTTCCCCTTGTACACAGTTAATAAGAAATGTCACCCCCGATGTATGATTAATTTAATTAGTAATTTATTTTTCAACTATCTCATGTCGTTGCTAATAGTTCTCTAAACGGTGTGTGTACTAGTAGCATGTAGATGCACGACATGGAAAAACAAAGGTACTCTTTACACTGCAACTGGATCTAGGAATAGGGCTAAGGAGTTCAACTACATAATGTATGGGCCTCCCTACAAGTACTCGACGATATCGCATTTGATGGATATATTCGGGCAGCTCTGGCCGACGGCGCTGCGACCCCGGTAGTTGGGGCTCTTCTCGGTGAGAAGCTTGCGGAAGATGGGCAGGATGGCCGTTTCGCCCTCGAGCAGCTCCGTTTCGCTGCTGGCGCCGTAGATGCTGCTCTCCTGTTTGCCCCGCTGCCTGCCCCGCTGCTTGTCCGGCGCCACATTGGGCGAACTGTGATGGTGGGCGGCATGCTGGATGTTGGAACTGCGGCTCACCTTGCGCGGCTGCACACACGGCTGGCTGGTGGGCGGCGGATCCCGCTCCCGCTCGCTGTCCGTCTCGCTCTGGCACACGGTGCCCTTCTGCGGCTTCGGCCGGTGCTTGTTGCGGTTCTTCTCCGACACGGACCGCTGGATGGGCGAGGTGGTGTTGGGGTCATAGGGCATCGGCATCCCGTGGCCGCCGTGGTGCTCCGCACAGCGCTGCGGACTGGCATAGTTGCGCGGCGACTGCCGCTGCTTGGCGTGCGACAGTGTGTGCGTGTCCCAGAGGTCGCTCTGCGACACCACGAAGTTCGACTTCAGGGCGGAGCCCATGCTGGTGCGGCGATGGTCCGAGGCAGTGGGAGCTATTGGTGGAAAATATATTCATTTTATTATATTATTATCATATTAAAAAATATATTCTCAAAACAAATTTTTTATTTTCTAAATTTATTTTTTAATTTATTTTTTAATTTATTATTATTTTTTTTTTTAAATTTATTTTCTATCATAACACAATAACCTATTTCTGAACTAGACATGAAAACTATCCATATATGTATCATAATTATATTTATTTGTCTAAATGTAAGTTAGTATAATATAATTACTCAATAGTCTCGATTAAATGGCTCAGGTTAAACGCAATCTTCGAACTAATAAATGTACTTTTCTTCTTAGTTGTAAAATATTATCAGAATTTACAAACATTAAATCGAACGAATTATTTTCTGGGCTAAATATAAAAAGAAAAATTAACTATTCGCTATTTATGAGGTAGTTTTTATAAATATGTTCAATATTTAGATAATTGAATTAAGTTTATTAAATTATGTACCTACTTCCCTTTCATAATTAATGCATATGTATAAGAAATAAAAAAATTATCTTGTCATATTAGGTAGTTTTCTTTAATATTTCTAATATTTCGATATTTGTCATAAATTGATACAACTATATACCTATTTCATTTCGGTCATAAGCTATTTTTAATAGAATAAAGAAATGCATTTACAATTATTTCTGAATAGCAAAACATAGTATTTTAAGTGTAAACCAAACATTATAAACCTATATATGGAAACAATTTAAAAGAACGATTTTTAATAAAACTACTAACACCTTTTAACTATTTTCAATATTTAGATATTTGGTTTGGAATTATAAAATTATGCTTTGCTGTTTAAGAACGATTACTAATATTATATTATTATAGAACTATCTTGTATCTTGAAACTATTTTTATTATTTAGATATTTTTAATAAAATTAAAATTTGCTGTTCAGGAAATTCCTTTGAAATATTTGGTAATAGATTGGTTGTGTGGTACAACATATTTACAAATAGTTTTCCCATTTTCACTTTATCTAACTTTAACCTTTAGTTCACATGTATTTGTTATTTTATTTTGTGTTAGCGAAATATAATGATTCTGACTTACTTTTGATCACAGCCGGCGTGCTGGGCTTGGAGTGGGGACACATGTTGCTCAGCTCGGACTGCGAGGTGGAGATGTTGGTGGAGGAGTTGCGGTGCGAGCTGCTGTACTTTGGCCGGGCGGTGGGCGTCTGGCTGCCGCTGTCGTAGTGCCGCGAAGCGTTCGACTGCCGCCTTTCCCGCATGCTGGAGCAGTCGCCGGTGCTCCTTTTGCCCACCGTACTGGTGATGCTCCCAATATTATCATCCGTCTGCGCGGACACCGAGTTGCGCTTATCCAAATGGCGGTGATGTTGCTGCTGGTGATGCTGCTGCTGCTGTTGCTGTTGCATTTGCTGCTGCTGCTGTTGCTGCTGCTGTTGGTGTTGCTGTTGCATTTGCTGATGTTGCTGGAGGTGCTGCTGCAGCTGCTGCTGGATGGGCTGCATCATGGTGGGAGCGGGCGTATGCGAGTGGTGCTCCACAAGGGATTGCTTTTTCTTTTTGCTATTTAGTGGGATACCATTAATCAATAATAATTTGTTATTTAACATAAAAATCAAAGACTTACGGAGGAAGTGAAGGCGCCATCACAGTGGACTGCACCGAGACAAAGGAGTTATCCATTTCCACATGGGTCGAGGTCACACTGTCCACGGATGTCATCTCGGTAACTTCTAAGGCAAAGAGAGCGCAATGCATGAACATATCTAAGAGCATCCACACTCTAGCCACTCACCTGTGGTGCTGGGCATTTCCCGACGCACTGGCGGTGCCGATAGCCTTACTATATCGTCGCTTAGGATGGGCTCCAGTTCACTGCCCACATTGGAGCCACCTGTACAGGTCACTCCATCAATCCACTTGCGGGCCTCGGGTCCTAGCTTGCGAATTAGGGCCTGCAGCTCGTTCTCCTTCTCCATCAGAGCCTTTCTAAATCGGCAGTTCGTGTTCTTCACGTCCCGCAAACGCTGCTCCAGTTCGCAGACCGACGAGTCCCTTCGTCCATTCTTGGACATGGGTCTCAAGGTGGCCCTCACCCGCTTGTCCACCACTCCCTGGGGATTCCTTTTCAGCTCCACCAACTGCAAGGCGATTCGCATGACAATTAACCAACAATAACACCACCGACATAACATCTAGGAAGGATCAACTCTACGGATAGTGGATAGGACAGACTAAAGTATCCGAACAGCAAGGAAATAGTATTCGGGCTAAAACCTTGCTGTTGCTTGGCATGGCTTCTAAATAGATCAAGTTTATAGTTAGTCTGTAGTGTTATATAGGATCTGTTTTGGAAATTTCGAGTACATGTGGTTTCTGTATCACAGTGTATCAGCGCTAGACGAAAGATCAGCTCAGCAGGAGGCGGTGAGGTCCAAACAGTCAGAATTTAATAAGCAAAACTGATTGGACCATCAGCGCCTTCAAACAACATTCATATTAACATATAACAGCTACAAAAACTACAAAACTTCCTTACTACCAGTCTTACTTTCGGTACGAACACCAAACACAAAGTGGCTGTCGTACAAAAAATGATAAAAAACGAGAGTAAGACAAAAACTAAATCCTTGCGGTCCGATAGCACCAGGGATATAGCCGCTCCGGCCAGACACGTGATGAACACATTGTAAACGGAGAAGCCAATGTGCTTGGAGTCGTTCAAGGCGGGTATGGAAACATGTCGCGTTTCCCAGGCCAAAAAGGCGCCAAATACCTGGGGTTAAAATTATATAATTTCCATAAAATATACTTAATATAATCTGGATTATTAACTCACCAATAGCAAGCCCTTGTAGGCATAAATAATGCTAACGAATATGGTCATGTGTTCGGATTGGCAGTATTCGTTTTCGGGTATCACCAAAACATCATCAATATTCTCGTGATGCTGTGCAAAAGAACAATTTTAAATATTTCATTCAAAATATTTCAAATCAATCCACTCACCAGTGGTTCCAATTGTTTAGTCTCTCGATAAAAAGGATCTGCTATTTGCCAGGTGGTTATAATGGCTATGTCAATGAACAGCAGCACGCCAACAACCATAAACAACTGATAGTCCTTTATAACTTTCTTGTTCAGTTTAAGATCGGTGAATATTGAATGAACCCGCCAAGTCTTTGAGAACATGGCTCCAAAACTAAGGCTAAATCCAGCCATCAGGATCCAGGCTCTGGCTGTGCAAATATAGGGAAATGCTGCCACGCTGCTCAAAGTGGTATCCAGTCCCAGGAAAATAATGCTCAGATAGGTCATCATGCAGCCCACAATAATCAGATTGTTCAGATGTGGGCTAGACATCTTGATGTAACTAAAAATAATACAAATAATAATAATTATATTTTAAAAAGTAATTGCCAATTAAAACTCACCGTTGATTGCGATACTTTATGTTAAAGGCCAGAAAAACAGTTGCAATAATCACTCCAACAACCGAAGCACTGGCCGAAACAATATAGATTGTTGGATTCACTTGACTGTGCTCGATGTAGATCAGAGTTCGATCTTTGGGGGGAGTTTTTCCCACCCATTTCACTGGTTTTCCCAAACTCAAATCTAAATGGGACTTTTGCGAGTGGTATTCGCCGATCTTTTCCATTTGTCCCAACTGAAATTGGTTGATCAGGATGTTGGCCTTGCGTTCGTTGTTGTAAAAGCGCACGGGACCCTTAAAAAAAAGTAAATTATTATAGTTTTACATTTAAATGAAATATTTATAAGCTGACCCACCGTCACACCCTCAAAAGAGGTATTTCGCAGGGCCTCAAGAAAGACGCTCTCCCAATCCTTCACTCGATAATCGAAATGTGTTAGCAGATCCTCGCGCTTTTCGGCCACATATTGAATGGCTAAGGCGGCTGCCCAAATTCCATCATAGGTATATCCATGAAAGCGGGAATACTCAGTGCCCCGTAGTCTATCGTACTCCACCAGATACTCATCTGCAGTCTTCAAGAAATTTTAGATAGAATATTAGTAAAATTCTACAAGAAGTTTTTTGAATAATTTGACTACTTACAATTCCAGCAACTGTGATGTCACCACTTGTGGACAGGGGCAGAAGATCCACCAGGATAGCTCCTTCCAAAGCTGTGGCTATCTCCTCCACACTGCACTCACTGTCCTGCGTGACATTCCACCAATCTGTGGAATAAGTGGCCATTATCAGCCACTGGTAAGCCCTTCCGTACATGTCCAATCTAAAAGAGAATATTTGCAATATATTATTTACAATTTAAGTCACCACAATATATGTTAAAATAAAGTTATGATGCTAAATATTGGGTTATTTGCAGATCTTTTATAAAAGTAGAAACAAAATGTTTAATGTAAATGTTATTTTTTTATGAGACTCGATTTCTGGGCATTTTAAAGATGTAACTCTGTACTATTATTTACAATTTAAGTTGAATTGTAAGAAATTCTTTTATAAATGTTCAGGAAAATGTTGGTTTTAAATTGCAACTCGATTTCTGGACATTAAAAGAAGATGTATCCTAGTAGTCTTCGCCTGTGAACCAATTTACAGGTCAGTTAAAAATATGTAATTAGCTTAATATGACTGATATGACTGGCTTTAGTATACTTTTAGAATTCAATTTTTGATATAAATATATAGATATGTAAATACTTGTAGAGAATACCCACTTGTAAGCCTCGCAAAAGGCCTTGCGGGCAAAGTGCTCGTTGAAGTTGCCCAGAATGATCCTGACGTCCTTCTCGCGGAGTTTCTTGAGTGATTCGGCCACGTCGTTGACGAAGCTCTGCGTCTCCACCACCTCCACCTCCATGGCGTCCAAGTCGGCCACCATGTGGTTGTGGGGCAGCGAATAGCGCGGTTCGTTCTGGTAGACAGTGCCCACCCTGGTCCAGTTGAACTCCTTGAGCAGCGCCAGTCGCGGTGCATTGAAGGCGTTCTCCGAGGGCACCACCCGAAAGAAATTGGGGAACGCGTCCTTGGTGAACATGGGATGGGTGTCCGCGTAGCTCAGCTGCGTGAGGTGCCAGTGCTTGCTGGCCTTGGCAATGGGATCGGTCACGTGGGTGCAGGCCGCCCCGAAGAGCATCACTTTATTTGGCCCCGAGTGCATCATATCGAAGAAGGACTTTACGCCCACAGCAGCATTGCACTGGAAACGGAAGAAAATTTAATTTAGAATGGCAAAAATAAAAAAAAAATATATAACTTCGATTCTTATTAACAAACATTTTCAGAAACATTTAATTCCGCGATTTGTAATATTTAATTTTTATATTTCTCTAACGCAGAACCCCTAATAAGTTTAACTAGTTTTCATAACAACTTAGTGTATAAATACATTTCGAATTTATTTTTATTAATTAGAGGAAGGAATTTCTATTGTGAAAATGTATCTTTTTTGTACTTGAAAAACCTGGTTAACCTTATTATTTTATTATTTACGACTAAATAAATATTTTCAAATATAAAGATTAATACTTTTTATTCCAAATTATGATTCCTTTGAAAGATGGATGACTATTACTTTTGGACTGGTGTATTCCTGTTTCCACTTATTTTATATTTTAAAGGCTAATCCAATTAACTCACCTGTGTGTCATTCCACCACATGTGCAGTCTGTAGTTGGCCAGAATCTTGCCATGTTCGTTGACATGGCCGAGAGCCAGCTTCACGCTGGGCATAACCCCTCGTCCTGTGTAGGAGTTCTCCACGCCATCGCCGTAGGGGAAGAATCCGGCTATATAGACGTCCGATCTCTTGGCAGTCCTGCCCCAGGCGGTGCTCCAAAGGAGCAGGAACAGCAGGCTGGCGAATGGAGTCCAACTTGGCCGGAACATGTTGACCGCGTGGGCTGCAAAACGATTCTGAATGTGAATGTGGGGCATATCGAGGACGTGAACTTGGAAGCAAGTTGTGGGTGGTTGTTGGTTATGGTGGGTGGTGGGTAGTGGTTGCTTTCAGGTGAACCAAGGCTGACCAGGCAAGGCTGCCTGGCCCTGTGGGCGTGTATTCTGTGCCTTATACCCATTTGTTGTGGGGACTCGCATGCAGTTGCACAGGACAGGTGGGGCAAGGCTAAGGCCACAGGCCAGTCAAATTGCCACAAATTGCTGCTGCAATGTTGGCACGTTTCGAAATTATAAAGCAATTTAATGATTTTTTAGAGTCTTTCATTATTCAGTGTCCTTTTTAACGCAATGAAGGCGTTCACTAGTTCTTGCACTCTTTTAAAATATTATATTTACTTGCTTAGTTCAACGTACCAGCTTTGCTTATCCTGTAGTTTTGTTTTATTTCACTACCGATGGCATTTTTCACAATTATTTCAATTCAACTCTCAGCGAATGAAGAACTTTTGCAGTGCGAGGGTCCGAAAAATTATGTATCCCCCTGACTTGACACTTGGCTGACAGGAGGAATTCGAGTAAGGAAGTGCGCATGTCCCCGATCCGAAAGCTGTGACAGCTCCGCCTTGGCCTAGGTTTTCCAACCCCCGTGGAAGCCCCTGTGAAAACCAAGCCGCTTTGTAAACATCCAGCAACAGGTGGATCCATCAGCTGGTCCTGCCACTTTTGTTATGACCGTTACCACGGAGACTACGGGGGAAGGAAAAAAATAGAGAAAACAGAGTACTAATCGAGCAATTACCAAATGAAAATTGTCAGTGGCCATAATGGAGGACTATGCGCCAAGTCGATATAAAATGCTCGAGAAAATCGGAGAAGGCGTCCATGGCTGCGTGTTTAAGGCCATCGATTTGCAGCGCAACAAGGAGGTGGCCATCAAAAAGGTGGCCCTCAAGAACAAGTTCGGGAACATAGCTCTGAATACTTTAAGGGAAATCAAGACCCTGCAGCTCTGCAAATCGGAATATGTGAGTTAACCATTTATCAACATAGTGAGCCATTAATTACTTATTTATCTGTAGATCGTGGGCATTATCGACATATACCCCGACCTGACTGGACTGTCGTTGGTGCTGGAATACCAGCCGGACACCCTGTACAACCGCCTCAAGAGCGAAGTGAATCCCCTGAGTCGCCAGCAGGTGCGCAAGTTCGCACACCAAATGTTCAAGGGCATCGCCTATCTGCACGATTCGGGTCTGATGCACCGGGACATAAAGCCGGCCAATCTCTTGATAAGCGATACGGACATGCTAAAGATCGCCGACTTTGGACTGGCCCGTCTGTACTTTCCCGAGGATGAGGCGCGTCTGTATTCCCCTCAAGTGTCCACACGCTGGTATCGAGCTCCGGAGATTCTCTGGGGCAGCCAGAAGTACGGAACTGGAGTGGACATGTGGGCGGCAGGTAGGTTCAGCCACTTTTTAAACAAAGAATCGGAGAATTACATCATTCTTTTTAATAAAATCACCTTAATGATCAGTGATCTATATTTTACCTTAAATTGTTAAAAAGCTTGTAGACTTTGTAGACCTATTTACAAAGATCTCATATTTTTTGTGCGATAAAATGAATGTTACAAGACCTCTGCTCAAAAATAAGCCTTATATTAGCTATACATCAGTTTAAAGTCGTTCATTTTTAAACACAAACATTGCTCAGCTATGACCAATTTAAAAGTATAGCTTTAAAGAATTAGAGATAATTTCTTTTTCCATTTTAAGTTTCAAATATATAGTTTACTTACCATGTCAGTTTTCATTTAAAGAAAAACTGAAGAATTGGCAACGGAAGGTATAACAATCCCTGATATTTTTTTTTGTATTTCATTCTTAAACAAGAATATATAGTAATTAATAAAATAATCAAAATCCTTAAGGTTGCGTGGTGGCGGAGATGTTGCGGGGAGTGCCTCTGTTCGCAGGAACCACCGACATTGAGCAGTTGGCCATTATAATCCGGACTCTGGGCAGTCCACGCTTGAATCAATGGCCCGAGTTGACTTCCCTGCCGGATTACAGCAAGATACGGTAAGGATATACCTTTATAATGACAGCTGAGTATATAATTTCATATATCCTTGCATAGCTTTCCAAATTCCGTGGGAATACACTGGGATAACCTGTTTCCCAGCTGCACTCATGCGGTGGAAATCAATCTGGTCTCAAATCTAGTTGTTTACAATCCCAAAAACCGTCTTAAAGCCAGTGAGGTTAGTTATACTAGAGTATCTAAACTGATTTGTTATAAACCAATATATATGTTCTATATTTTGCAGGCCGTCGAACACGATTATTTTCACTAGCTATAAGACTATTTACACAGGTATTGTTAGCATCTAAGAGTTTTCCGATTCTTTATATCTGAAAAGGGGAAAATAAATGATTAATCGTGGAAACAGAGGGATTTTGGTGATACCTACTTGCATTTGAGACAGGTGAAGAACACCGTTTGACCTTCATCCGCGGACCGAAGTTGCAGGGTGGCGTAGGACATCTTGTCGTGGTTGCATTTGGGACACTTTCTCTCTACAACAGGTCCATCCGCCTCCGAGGATTCGGATTCCCGTTTAGTCCTGTTGAACACCTTGCTGGGATCGTAGGTGTTGAAGTGGATGGTGAACTCCGATTTCTCGCCGCTGTATACTATTGTAAAATTCAAAAAAATATATGACGATCATTTGAACAAGTTGTAAATTCTTGTCTTACCATCTGGCCGAAACTCCTGTCTGCAGTTGTAGCAAACCACATTGCCCTTGACTTGCAGCTCGGGAAGAATGGAGCCGCAGGAGGGGCAGAAACCCGGGCAATTGGTAAAAGTATCCATGGTTTTAAATATAAAACCGGCCAAACAAAATAAAATTAACTGCACGTGCTACTAAAGTGATTTTAAAGTGACCGTTTCGCAGCAGTTAAAATATACCAAAAGCTAACAAAAATACTGAAATAAATCAGTGAGGTGGAAAACTTAGCTAACTCGGGTTGGGAACTTAGGTGAAACGGTTGGTAGCATTTAATTCGTTATTCAGTATTTTAACCGTTTCAGTACATAGTATTTTATTTAAATTTGAATTTGAAATGATTATCAAATTAAAATCCAATTCTACTATATTAATAAACCTGTTACCAATAAATAAAACAACAACAATTGATGACTTTGATCAGTATGTTTAGAGTATAAAAAAGGCAATCTTAAGAGCTAAGTCAGCTAAAATGCAAGTCAGATGTGTACTCTGTTTCAATTAAACTACCTAAAACTATCACAGGCAGAACATTAACTACGCGCTAGCGCTCCTAACTACAACTAAGCATCTAGGAACTATTGATCCTTGGCTGCCAGATATCGCACAGAATATGTCTTCTTTAAAAGTTAACTAAAAAAATCATTGCAAATAGAGGCACAATTCTCTTCGGACTATCGGCTGGGATGACTCTGCGGCATGTTGAGCTCCCAGAGCTTCATGTGGTTGTCCAGCACCTCGTGGAACCAGCTCTCCTTCTCCGGCTGCTCCCGGAAAATGGGTTTTATGGACTTGAGGTCCAGCTGCAGGATGGCATCGTTGCCGAGCAGCGAGTCCAGCGATCGCAGTAACGTGCTATTTCCATGCAGTTTTAATAGGGTCACATATTTGACCACATAGTACTCGTACTGCAGCTTCCTCCGTGCCCATCGCTCCACGGTGGCATTAGCGCTGGCCGATCGAATCTGGCCAAGATGGGCGGCAAACCAGGGTGCAAAGTAGTTGTACAGATCCAGCTTGGAGAGCCCATTCAGGCCCTTACTCTTGATCCGCTCCTTGATCATGCTGTAGTTCTTGCGGCTGTACACGAACACCTGGTACAGTGAATTGCCGGTGGTGTACGAGTTCACGTAGTGGGTGCCCACATGATCCATAAAATGGATAGCGGAACTTAGGTTGCCGACTTGCATTTGATCCATTCGTGTTCTCACATCCGGTTCCATCGCCTGGTGCACTGGGATCTCGGCATTAAAACGTCCTGTTTCCCTGAAGCGCACCACCCTCACCAAAACGTACGAGTAATCTCCCACGATAAACGACGTGTTGATGCCCAGCCTCTTGGCCGCATTATCCGGAAACCATCCGGCCGAGAACGCCTCCCACGGTTTGCCCATCCGCTCGATGGAGAAATCCCGAAAGTAAGCCTGGAACAATTGCCGACGATTCTCGCAGAACTCCATGTGAAAGTCTCCGTGAAAGATTCCGGGTGTGGTGTCCTCATTACTCTCCGCCAGGCCAGTCAAGTTCTAAAAGGATATCAAAGTGAATTAAAAAATATTTATAAATGTTTGGAGAACAATTAGTAAACAATGTACCTCTTTTAACTAAAAAGTTTAAAGCTGACCGTTTTGTAACAAATATTAAATTGACCGGCAATAACTTATTAAGCTAATGATCATTTCCCCACAATCTGGTTAACCAGCATTTAAAATATAAAATATAAAGTGCTGCCATTTGAACACCAAACTTGGCGGAAGTATAAAAAATGGCCTACATTTAAAAATAGTTTTTAATGATAACAGCTTTTGGCCGGCCAATAAAAGTATATGATAATTGTGGTCAAAGGTTAATAGCAATAGAAATAGCTCTGACTTTATTTTCCCCACTTGAATTCTTAAATTTAACACTGATACTCACTCTGTAAATGTTCCTCGTGGGCTCCTTGAACACCCATCGCTCCGGCTCCACATTGTCATTGAGAGGTATTACGCGCATGGAGATGCTCAGGTATCCGTAGCGCAGGAATATATTAATGGCCTTGCCGATCCGAAGCTGGGACTCGCGACGACCTCCATCCGCCAGGAGAGCCAGGGTCAGCAGCCAGAAAAGGCCAGGCCACGACCTCATCGCTCAGCATGCAAGTTAAGAACTATAATGGATGACAAATGGGCAGGGAAAGGTTATTTTGGGGTTTTACTGAAGTCTTTTTATGCATCTTAATAATTTATTTTGATTACAGCTAGTGATTTATAATGTTTTAATTGGATTTATTTAAATTGGTGGAAGGAGCAGACGATGCAACTCAACCAAAAATTTAGTTTTATAAAATATAATAAAATTCAATGCAATATAATGTTTATTTGATAAAATACACTTTAAATTGGTTGGAGAAATTGCAATATAACAAGCATATAAAATTAAGCAACACAATGTTCTCATAAAATGTTTATTGATTGGCAATAAAAAGCCCTATAGTTAATGTTAAAAAGGTGACAAACAAGTTCTAAATTTAAAGCCAGTAAATCATTTTCCCAACAGATCTTCAACCGGTCAGTTTCCTCAAACGGCGTTTATATTTGTTTATATTTAAAAGCCACTGCAGTAGTTGCCATTAAGAGAAGTTAACTATATGGCAATAATTGCAGGGCCGCCGTGTTTGTTTTTCCACTCCATAAACGGGCGATAATTTAAGCGCGGTCTAATTGGCCATGAACCTTTGCCAAAGCTGAACTTGAACCGAGCCGACTGCTGAGTGTTGAGCTTGAGCTGCTCGAAGTGGATTTTCGTAAAGGCCAGCAGCTAGTAGCTTGTAGCTATCACCTGGCGATGAGCCGAAGCTCTGCTCCGATCACCTCAAGTGGCTGCAATTAGCCGCAGGCTTTTTGGCCGTAAAAACAGCCACTGCCACAAAGTAACATAAAGCCATCAAAATTGGTTTGGCTGTCGTCGTAGACGCAGTCGCAGTCGCATTGACTTGCAAATTATTTCCTAAAAGCATTTTGCATGCCTCGTAACCGTTTCTTTTCTTTGCTTTTTTTCTAGTTGTCCCACTAGCTAAACTACTAGGACCGGTTATGCCGTTCGCCAATATTTCTGGCCAGAGATTAGCATTATGACCGGGCCAGAGGAAGCCGCCAAGAAATTGGCCCAAGCCACAGCGCACAACATCACAACACCACATACAACATTCTAACAGCATGGCGAGGCAACACACATTAATTAAAATTCGAGCCGTTATCAGAAAAAACAGTAAAGCGACGTGTTTGGCGGGCCAAAAACACAGGGGTTAGCCGGGTGTTAGTGTTAGCCATGTTCGTGAGTCACACCTGTCGCCGCGGGGCGGTCAAGCGTAACGCCAGTCAGACAGCCATGATGACACTCAAATTGTTAACAATTTACGTGAACCATAAAATCTAGGCGACGATAAACTTGTCCAGCAGCAAAAAAAAAAAAAACCAAACAGAAGCCAAACAAAAAACAGCAGGAAGAGTGAGTGAATGAAAATTGCCCGTAATGAAACTAGCCCTGAATGGAACAAAGGAAAGAGCCATTTGTCTGCCTGCTTCGTGTTAAACACATATACCAATGAATACTCCTCACGAGCTATGGGTAATTCCAGGAAATACTTGATTATAATACTTGATTTATAAATACAATATAATCAGTAGCGTTCGTAGCCAACCAACTTGGCCCCAACGATGAACCGCAAAGATGATAGCAAACGCCCTGTAGATGCAAACATTCTGCGAGAATCCGATTTCGAAGGTTGTCAACTTCTAGCAAACATGCGAGCGTAATACCCTAATAAGCTTAGTTCTCCAACTCCAACAAGACCACAAAAATGCCGTACAATTGCCAAACCTGAGCTCTAAAATCCGCGTCCCGCTCGAAGGGCATGTGTTATATGACTTAATGATAGTTAGTTTTGGCGGCGGGGGTATTTACAATAGCGGACGCGTAACCTTGTGCAAAAGACCCAAAAAAAAAAAAAGCCGCGAACCGGAGTTCGAGATGAAGAAGACGAATTAAATCAAAAATTCAATGCGCGCACTCGGACTCTAAAGCAAAGGCAACTTAAAATCAACTCGTTCAACTGTAACTCCCTCTGCACTGAGCAAAATACGTTACTTGTTATGGGGAAAAAATGATTCCTAATTGAGAGGTCCACAAAAGTTCTTCCAAAAAAATCTTTCTTTAATATAAAGCGTTCTTCGATTATGTTTTTATTACTTTTTAGAGTGCAGATTGTTTCTAATTTTGTAAAAAATATATTTGTCTTAACTTGTACTGTAAATATATCCAGCCAATGACAATTAAATACTGGATTGAAATTAAAGTACGGTTTTTTTTAGACTCATAACTATATAATATAATATATAACCCATAACTTTTCATGATATATTTGTAATTTTAAAACCTTTTTTTCTGATAATAACTAATATCTTTTTGATCAATTTTAGAGATTTCCTCAAAATATGCAAAAGTTTTTCTTAGTGTTTGACACTGTGGTAGTTTGAGGCCCAGTCAATTGAAGATTCTTTATGCGCATTTCATGCGCTCTTTTGTGGTCGTGGTGCGGATCTGAAGGACTGAAGCCGGACGAAGGGCATCGAGTTGGAAAGGGGCATAAGGTCTGCAGTTTATACTATGTATATATCGCGCTTAATTTTATGCTTGGGTCCGAGTGCGTTGTTTCCTTGAGCGGTGTTAAACAAAAGTTGTCTGACTGCGAGGTGCTGAGGTGCTGCTGCTGCTGCTGCTATTTTCGTTGTGTTGTGTGGTTTGGTGTTTATTTACCTGCACGAGAACTCGAACGCGGATTGGAATTGACGTAACCATCAACCAGAAGCGGCTTTTGGGCAGAAGCTTAAACTGAGAAGGAGGGGGGTGGAGGGGAGGGGGTCTAGTCAACAGCCGCAGCTCAACAGTGGAGTGGTTAGCCTTATCGCTCCGATACCGGGGGCCAGTGCACAAGGCTGGCTCTGAATGCCTTTGGCATCGTTAAACCGAGTCTGAAGTGAACGGTTTGTGGGTCAGAGGTCGGCGATCGACGATCGACGATGGCGCCCTCAAGTGATAAGCCGAGCTATGAATAGATCGCATGGACGAGCTGAGATCGAATTACGTTCGCGAGGATTTCAACAACAACAACAACAACCAAACAGCGCAGGCAAACACACTCAACTACTTGGAGCACTATGGGCAACAGTCAAAAACACAAAAACACAAAAACCGAGCAGCGACGACGACAACGACAACGACGTGCCTTCAATTGCAATTAAAAGCCGGAATCGCGGCAGCACTTACACTCCAAACGCGATCAGCACAACTTCCAGCGCGCAGACTCAAAACCAAACTGAAACTGGCTACCAAAACTCGATCGCCTGGAGAGAACAAGCCGATGATCAGAGCAGTAGCAATTTATGTTGCGCCACGCGAGCAACATGTTGCTGCTGGCTAGCAAGTAAAAATGTTGCAGCGGCAACAGTTGCAGTTCAATGACTGACTGACTGGCGGGCCAGCAGAAGTTCTAAGCTCCACCTCCTCCAACGGTAATAACTATGGCTATGGCTTTGGCTTTGGCTAATGCTAATGGCCTGGCACAAATATCTATTGTTGACATCTGCCGCTGGGGGACAGCTTTTCCGCTTATTAATATTTCCAAGCACGTCGTCGCCAACTTCCAGTTTACTTCAAGCCAAGGAGGACAAGTAGGAGGAGGAGGCTTCCTCAAACGAGGCAGATTGAAATGATTGCAGACTTGCGCAAGACTTACCATAGAATCGTGTGGCCAGTAATCAAAAACTTTTGGTGCTGTCTGTGGAGCTAAAAAAGAAAAAAAAAATGATAATAATAAAAACTAATAAAACCAAAAGTAAGCCGAAAGAAACAAAAACGAAAGTATCAAATTCGCATTACCTTGAAAACAAGCCAACAAATTTGGGTCAAGCTTTGAGCGACAACATTCAACAACACTCCAAGTGTAATGTTTCAATTAGAAGCTTGGGATACAAATGTATCTGTATCTGTATCTGTATCTGTAGCTCAAAAGCCGTGACTGCAGGGCATCCGCTTTGTCACATTGCCTTGACATCCACTGGCTATTGAGAATTTCTGCGAATTTCGTTGCTGGCTTTCTAAGAACTCGAAAGGTTCTGATTTTGAGTCTTTTTTATGCTAAGAAATTGGGTTTTTTTTTGGTGTTTTGGATTTCCGAAAACCATTGCAAAAGCTGGTTGAAATTGTATCTCTTGTATATTTTTCTCTTTTCATATATAGAAGTTCTTTTTATTAATTTTGTTTCGGTTTCGTTTTCTGTGTGTTTGTGGGTGTTTTTAGCTTTGTCTTTGCTGCATTCATGATTCAAAACTTATGTATTTAAAATTCGGTATTTCAGTGTTTACTCGTTTTTATTTAATTCTCATTCCCGTTCTCATGTTTCATTTTAATTTATTATTATTAATCCCATGTTTAAACTATGTATATATAATGACATTTTTTATCATTTACTTTAAATGATATTTACTAACGCCGCGGCCTTCTGCGCCCCAATCGATCGATCGATCCATCTGTCGATCCATTCATTTCATTTCATTTTTCATTTCATTTATTATTTCAATAACAATTCACTCAATTAGCTCAAATCGCGTCAATCTACACATATTGACATTGGAGATCATAAGCATATTCAACTCATCTTCACCATCATTACCCTCGTTATCATAATATCATTACTTCATTGACTTATGAAATTAGAGAAAAATTCTAATTCATTTGGTTTACGTGACGTGACCATGTTCATTTCGTCTCATTTCTCATTTCCTTTTTTCATTTTTTTTTTTGGGTTTTAATATCAACAATAAATTTTCACTTAATCTTAGGGTGAAATTATTCTTAGAGTAATACAGCTACAATCTGCTCGCAATCGGCTAAGAAAAAAAGGATCAGAATTAAAAGTACGAAACGAATCCTTCGAAATCCTATCTCAATCTCGGGATACTCTCTTTCGATGCCCCTCTAAATTCAATCCTTCAATCAATCGTTCCTTATCGTTTGTTATACCGTAAATAAAAGATTTTGATTTGAGCATTCTTCCTAATCATCTCATCATTTTTGGTGTTTTCCGGGGAGCCTCAAAATGTACATACTACATCCAACTCCAGTCGACTTCTATTCACTTCGCGTCTCGTCTCGTCTCGTTTAAGGGATAATACTTAGTTAATTTGGCCACTTGGCTGCGTTTGCGTTTGTGGTTGTGGGTAGGTAGTTAGTTCTTCAGTTTTTCGGGTAGGTTCGGTTGTTCTTCATTTTCTCTGGGATACTTCTATGATTTGCATTGCCTCACTGCTATCTTCTTCCACTTCCACGCTCAGAACGGAAAAGTTATAGCCCAGCGTCTAACGATAATACTCATACTCTATGCAAAATTGTTCAACCATTTTGAAACCATAGAATTGTTCTGGATATAAGTGTGTGTGTGTATTATATTCTTGTGTGGTGTGCGGTTGGGAAATTCAAGTGGGTTCGAATCAAGCTCAGGCTTAAATTGGGAATAGTGATTTTTGTGGTGTGGCAGGCACCTGTTTACAAACGTGTGTTGTGTGTGTTCGGTTTAATACTAAGTTCGATCTCAAGTTCCCATACCCAACTACATTTAGTAGGTGATTGCATGTGCACTTCGTAGTTGTGGTCTAAATTCTGTGTTAGCTAATTCGAAACGCACCTTTTAGATCTTTATTGTTTAGGGGGAAAAAAGCGAAATTACTGAGCGCTGGATGCTGACTGACTATAGAATATATAGAATGAAGCTGCACACATAAAAATGCCAGGTTTCTTGATTGCTAAGACAGTTCGTCGATTCGTCAGTGTCATTGTAAAGTATCTCGAAAATTTGAAGCTGCTGCTTGGGTGGTTACTGGGCCTGTGGGTGTACGATTAATTCAATTCAATTCAATTCAAAGCGACTTAATATCTGTCAGATTCTGATTCTGATCCTGATACCGATCAGTTTTGGGTCTCCTTGTTAGGTTCTCGTTTTCTTTATTTGGCTGTGGGTTAAAAGGAAGCGCTCCGCTATATTATTCTTATTGAACTTGACTGATTTTCAATGTATCCAACCTGAGTTTGAGTTGTTCGAAAAATATATATATGTGTGTGTATACATATTTCGTCGTTTTCCTACTTTTTTTTGTCATATATTTATAAGTGTATCTGCCTGTTTTGCGTTGACCTGCAATCTCCTCATTCCTTTTGCTAATTATTTTAATTCGTAATTGCAGTTAGTATGTGTGTTTTTGTGCTCACTCTATGTTTTTCCTTTTGTTTACTTTGCTTCTGCTGAATTAAACGCTGCTGCAATTATTATTATGTACTTTTTTTTGTTTTTATTACATTTGATTGCATTTTTTGTGGTTTACTCATTTCTCATTGAATTCAATTAAACGTCAACAATTTGGTTTCTTTTATTATATGTTCTTTTTTTTGCATTTCCTTTCGTGTAGTGTTGTGACTGGAATTAATTATTTTTTTTTTTTTGGTTTTTCTGTTACCTTTTCTTTATGTTTTATTGCATTTAAAACGTGCACTTTACCACTGTCCTTACTTGATCGATCTTCCATATGTAATTAATTAGTTCTTACTTGGCTTGAAACACTTGAAATTGCTCACATCGTAATTTGTTTGTTATGTTCTGTTCATCGAGTTCTTTGTGGCTGCTGTTATGTCTCCTTGTGTCTATGTTTAATTATATTTAATTACGTAGTTTTCTCTATAATTTACTAACTCGTTCAACGCCCTATCCCTGCTCACAAGACCCTAACCGGAAATAATCTTTGAGTAAAAACAATTTGGAGTGATTCGAACGGAACCCTCTGTGCGGGGTTTCGATTTGTCTACCTCCAGTTAACTTAGACACTAACAAGTGCATGATTTACATAAGCGTTTAATGCTGTTTTTTGACTAAATGTGGAATACATAAAAACAATACAACAAAACAATAATCGTAAAAATAACACAATGAGCTTGGAATGGCAAATACAATTGGGTTACAAATAATACAAATAAACGTTGTTAAAAACGATAAACAAAAAAGAGGCAAATACAAATTGGTTGTTTGACAATTAACACTTTTGTCGTTTGCGTTGCGAGCGCAGTTCCCATAATACCCAACTATTCTTAAAGTATATAGCTTGGCGCCAGGCGCCTTCTATTCTGCTATCCTGCTATCCTGCTATCCTGCTATCCTTCTATCCATCAATCTTTCAATGTTTTCCGTAGTGGTTGCTGTTGCTTCTTCAGTTGCTGCTGTTTGTGCCTTGGTAATACTTTAATGGTGTCTTGTGGTGATGTGGCGTGTATCTGCATCTGTAGCTGTTTCTGTATCTTCGCTTCGCATCTCAATAGAGCGCCACGTTGGAGGCCTGCGTGTAGGCATCCCACTCGCATTCGCAGCCCTCGAGGCAGTCGGGGCATTCCAGCTCGCTGTCTTGTCAGTACAGCCAGGATACGGGCACCCACTGCGGGGTGGTGTGCACCCGGTCGATGGCCGTCTCCAGCGTGGCAATCGTCTCGCTGATGTCGTTGTTCACAATCGTCAGGTCGAAGAAGTGCCCATACAGCTGACGCAGCATCTCCGACTCCTTGGCCAAACGCTCCAGGCTCCCATCGTACTGCCATGAGGCGCAAACAAAAAGGCAGTTAGTGAGGTTTGATTTGGTTCTATTCACTTTCAACTACTCACATCTGCTATATTCTGCAGCGAGGGCGCCGCTATGAACACCACATAGGGCGTGAACTCGGCCGTGCGGAGTATCTTCAGTGCCTGCGGCTCCACATCCAGTATGGCCATCTTGCCCTCGGTGTGAATGCGCCGGATGGTGTCCAACTTGGTGCCGTACATGGCATCCTCATGGGTGCCTATAACAATCGAATGTAGCTTATTTGGGCATGGATCGCTGACTGAGTATATCTACCGTATTCCAAGTACTCATTCGCACCGATGTCAGCCATCATTTCATCGTGCGACACAAAGTAATAGCTGCGTCCATTCTCCTCCTCGGGTTTGGCAGGTCTCGTTGTATCTGTAAGTCAAGGGAAATTAATACATGTCACTTCACTAAAATTGCACTGCACTGCACTCAATTGGTTACAAAATATTTCAAACAAAACGTTTAGTAAATAGTTATAGCCAGGAAATACTTGTGTGCTGCTAATAAATTACTATTTTCGATTGGCAAATAAATAGTTAGCATTTAAAAGCCATAAATTAATTGAGCCATAAAATAGGCATAAATCTATTTAAGGCTTTAAAATGAGAAATCAACAGGAAACCTATTTAGGATTTTGACACAGTAAATAAGTGCTTTTTTTTTGTCGTAGTCAACAATTTATGGTGATTCAGTTTTTATGGTACAGCAAGAAGATATAGCGATTTATGCATCATTAACTCGAGCAATTGAGCGATGACTTTATTTTTTGCCCAACATGGCAATGTGTTAAACCAGTAAAATAAGAGGGTAAGGCCTGTTTCGCCACTTTAGATTCATTTGGCAAGGCGAAAGGTACTTCTATGATAAAGCTACTTACGTGGTATGGGATAGGCGTACTTGTCGGGGTACTTCGAAATCAAGGTGTTCTTGATGTGCCGCCTGCCCACCCCATGAGCACCCAAGAGCACCAATGTTTTGCGCTGAAAGTTCGGGTCGCCAACTGGAATAAAGAGATGAAGGTGCATAAACACAGAGTTCAGGGACATGGGATAATCAAAACCCACCTGGCACCTTGACAACCTCCTCGTACGTGACCACATCGAGCGTGTCGAAGATGGCATTGTGCTTGGCCAGATACTTGTCCCGGCATTGCTTCTTCTTGCGCCCGAAGATGGAGCAGTTAACTGTTGGTTATAACGGAGATCAAGTGTTATTGAATTATATTACCAAAAAAAAAAAAATAAAAATAGAAGGCAGTAAGAGCTGAGTAAGTTAAGAGCCGCATGCTTATAGAGCAGGCACAAACATGCTGATATGATAAATTCGGGCATGAAGCAAGCACGATTTTGCTTAGCAATATACATAACTATAGATGAATTTATGATATCCTTTTAGATGACTCCATTTCCTTCCCTTCCCGACCTACGTTTTGATTTTCTTCGAATCAGAGAGTTACATATGCGGTGTTCTTTCAGCCAGCCTAACGTGCAGTGGAGTGAACTTGTGTCGATGTATATTTGTGGGACTAACTAACTTTGGTTCGGGTATTACTTATTGGGGTTTGGGTTTCAAAAGCGGGGGGCGGGTTCAACTCTGTGGTTTCAAAAACAACGATGACTGAGGTGCATCTACTACTGTTTTTTAGATGGCGATCGTGATTATGAGTGGCTGTTCTACTTGATTCCTGGGGACTGAGTGGCTAAGTGGTTCGGTGGTGCCGTCTACATAAGCTACAACTTTCGGGTGGTTGGTTGGGTGGTTGGGTGAAAATTTGCTATCGATAGAAGTTCTGTTGTACAGTACGTGTATAGTATTTTGTGTTTTGTTTCTGGCATAACAAGAACTCAAAAAGAAACATGTAAAAGACGTGTCTTGGCAGCTCTCCTTGGGAGATTTTGTGGTGTTCTTTTTTTGTTTTGGGTTTGTGGTGTGTTGTGTTATGGCTTTTGGTTATATGGTAACTACCTGCTGATCCATCACACCCATCTGCGTGAGCGGAACATCCAGCACCCGGTTCTCCTGCATTATATTATCATACATACATAGTTTATAGCAATTCTTTGGTTTGGTTCGAGATGCGAGATTCATGGTTAGCAACTAAGTAATAGAGTTTTGTACACAGGTGTGCAGGTATGTAGGTGTCTGTGGGTCTTTGGGTCTTTGCTTTTTCGGCTTAAAATTTGGCGGCGTTTTTTGGTTGGTTAATTTGAAAAGGTTTTTCTTTGACTACTATTTTTTGTTTTTTTTTTTTTGGGGGGGGCATGCAACTCTCTGTCAGTGTAAGTGTACAAATGTGGGTGTATTTCTGAGTGGTTTATGTGTGTTTTGATGCTGTATGTTTGTGGGAAAGAGACTTATAGAGAGAAAGAGAGAGAGAGAGAGAGCGCGCTTTCCCATTTTTTTTTTTTTTTCGAGTAACTACGAGATCGTCATACACTTCCAATATAAGTACAATTATTCATATAGCATACGATTGGTTTTTTGATTATATCGAGCATCCAATTACACATAGAGAACACGGATAGTTTGTGGCGCCGGAGACGCCTGATGCCTGCCGCTGGCGAGGATCTCTCACCGCAGCCCAAGGACTCACCCTGCTCCTGCTTGGTCTTGTCGACCGTCTGGCAGGCGATCCGCCACTCCTGCAGCTCCGGCGACGGAATCAGTCCTGCCGATCCGCCCACCGTGTCCAGTCGCGCCTGCCACCAGTGATGATCGTCCTTGCTAATGATCTGCAACGCAAAATGTAACGCAATGCAAATGACTCGAATTTCAATCGGTTTTAAGCCTTCTCAAGCCTACCTGCAGTATGTCGCCCACTTGGAATGATATGCCCGCCTGGGCGCAGGGTATAAGCTCATCATCCAGCGGATTATAATCGAATTGGGCGCGCACGAATATCTGCGGAAAGTGGAAGAGTGGGAAACACACAGAATATGAACCAGATGAGCAGAAATAGTTGCTAGCAGGTCGATGATTCGATTCGGTTGCTTTTCCTTTTCCTTTCCCTTTTCCCCTTCAGTTTTCCATTTTCTGCCATTTCAGCTACTTTTGCACGGGCTGCAACTGAGTTGCGGCTGCCTCAGCGAAATGGGTTTCGGTGAATGCGAATTACATGCAAAACTCATTTGCATGTCAAAAGCAGCGGCAGCCACAGCAACAAAATCAGCAACAGTAGCAACAAAGAAACAAACAACTTTGGCAAGCAGAAGCCTCGAAATGTTAGATGCCCTGGCGAATTGTTAACTATTATACAATACAAAAGTTTGGGTCAAATAAGTCAAAAAAAAAATCACATTTAATTTCATTTTCAGTTCCCTAAAGAGAAATTTAAATTGAAAACCATTTTTATTAGCTGGTTGACCAACAAATATAAAATCTACAATTTTTTATGAACAATGTTATGATCTTCATTTAATTTAAAAAAAGTGAATATACAAATATACACACTAGTGTCACCTTATCCCAACAATTTTGTTTTATCAAGCACTGAAATTTAATTTTCGTTTGTTTGTTATTTGTTTGGTTGGAACAATTATTAAAAAAAAAGGTACCTATATATATTTATTTGCAAAATTTAATTGTCAGTCCTCTGAGTAGAAAGTTAAATTGAAAACTTTTTTTTTAATTTGCTGGCTAACCAACGTGTTTTAAATACAATTTTTTTTAATATTTCTAGTATAAGTATTTATGCTGACTGAAATAAATGTGAAAACGTATGTTTCTCACGGAATGTCCAATACAATATTGTTTGATAAATCACTATAGTTTAATTTTCGTTTGTTAGTTAGTCGTTTGTTCTGAACAAATATCCCAATCATTTATTTGTACAATTTGTAGATGCAACTTTATGGGCAAATTAAAAGGTGGTTGTCATGTGGCAACGCTTGTGCTCGAAACTTTGGTTCATAATTACAATATCCCCGAATAGGGCATCAAAGGCCTGCTTGCCGCATCGCTGTTGTTGACTAAGTGATGAACATAAATTAGACAAATTTACGGCTCTTGTGTGAGTTGTGCCTTTTGACTTGTCTGTCGGTTAATGAATATGCACATCTATGTTACACATATACACATCTACCGGAATGCCAGGGGGGAAATGGTTGAGTTCGAGTAAAAGTAATCTCGAGTGGGCGGTGGTGGGTGGTGGGTGGTGTGTGCGTGATTTCGTGTCTATTGTGGGGAGCGTGATACTTACAAGCACCGGAGCGGGTCTGATCCTGAAAAGCTGCATGGTGGCATGAGTGAGGGGGTAGAAAGGTAAAGGTTTCGGTTTCGGAAGGAAGGAACAGATTGAGAGAGAGAGAGAGAGTGTGGAGTTATGTTAATGCACTGCGAAATAATTGCATAATGGATTATAGCTACACAACTACGAAGGAAACATTTTGCGGGGGGTGGTGTTTACTGTTCAGGATGCCTCATTCATATATTTACACACCCATAAATATAACATGACTGCGTACACAAACCTATTTTTGCCATTACTCCCCTCGTTGTTTTACAATATGCATAATGCACTCGACTGGTGCCCCTGAGTTGTGATTTCGAGGCCTCATTGTTTTGTTTCCCATTTTGCGGGGTCCGCCCATTACGAGCTAATTAATCCCTATTGATATTTTGATTTCGCCACATGGACAAACAAGAACAAGCATTCCACTTCATCAAACTTAATAACTTAATGCCAGCCTATTTGGTTTGAAGTCGAAGATGCTCTTTGAAATGAGTAAGAAGGGTTGGGTTCTGGGGGCGATTTTCGAAAGCATTGACCAATTATTTAATTATGTGCATTTCATAAGTGATTAAATGCTGTTGGAATTGCAAAGTAGATTTCGAATTTAGAGCTAATGCATTTACTATGATGATTTCACACAAGTAATAATAAATATGATTGCTGCCTATAAAATTATATATTGTCACTCAATTTATTTGTTTTAGCATTCTGTTTCTAGTTGAAATCTAAAAAGCTTTTTAAAAGAAATTAAAAGGTTTTGGTTAGCGGTCTTTCGGAAGCACTGACTAAATATTTAATTATTAAAGTTGATCTCGCTTTAAGAGTTCACACATTTACTTTGATGTTTTTAAATTATAAGTCCTAATTTTTACTTCATTTATTTGATTTACATTTCTGTTTCTAGTTGCAATCTAAAATGCTTTTCAAACCAATTGAAAAGGGTTTTTGGCTTTCGTAAGCACTGAATTATTATTTAATTATGTGAATTTTAAACGTGATTAAGTAAAATGCCCCATTCTTACTTTTCTCATAATAAATATGATTACTGCTTAAAACATTATCTTATTAATTATCTGAGCTTTTAATTATAACACCATGAAAAAAGGCGAGTAAAAGACATAACTAAATGAGGTGGGATTACCATCTTTACTTTGTAGTTTATTGTTGTATTAGTAGTAGGGTGATTAGTCAGTCTTAAAGTAAACTATACCATATGCATAGTAGGTGGGCAGTTGGCCCAACTCGATGACTTACCTCGCAGGGGGGCGGAGCGCTGCGGTACGAAGGAACTATCTTGAAGGTAACAGAACCGCGTGCCTCGCGCTGCAACAGAGGGATTAGCATTGGACACATTCAATTAGCAGGTGAACAAAGTCGGCAGGGGAGTGCAAAGTGGAGGATTGATTGGTGGGCTCACCAGCATTCGTTGCAATTGGCCAACCGACTGGTGCTGCACCGGCTGGCCGTTGATCTCCCGTATCTCGTCGCCCACGTGCAGCGTGGCCTGGCGGTGAATCATCCCGCCGTGCATAATCCTGGCCACAATGCACCGCCCGTCCTCGGTCATCTTCAGCGTGATGCCCTGCAAGGGATTAGAGTGGGTCAGTGGGTCCGTTGGCCATCTCCGTTCATCTTCTCCCCTGGGGAAGCTTACCATGGGCTCGTCCGTGTTCTTCTGGAACTGCACCAGTCGCACCCGGGTCACATGCTGCAGTTCGCCACCCTCGACATTGTCCAGCTCGTCGCCGTTGAGGTAGGGCACCATCGGGGGCGGGGTGACGCGCAGCGCCTCCTCCCCGTACACATCGCGGGCCACCACATCGTGGCTATGGAGCAGAGCCTGCAAAGGAAAACACCGCCCGGTAACGAGGTTAGTTGCGACTCAGTACTTGGTCTTACTGCGGCAACCCAAAATTACAAATTATTCCCCTTTGCGCTCATAACTTTACCTATTTAAGCCTGGTCTCAAAGTGCTTTGCGCTATTGCTAGTCTGAATTAATATTTCGTTTTAATTAGTAGCATACCCCTCTGATAATATGCATTAAAATTAAGTTTCTAGGGGGTGCACTCCTTTGCTTGTATCCATTAAAATGTCATTTTTGTTGCAGGTATTTTTGCTTGCCAACAGAAATTGCATGTACATTTTTTATTGTACCAGGTTTGATTTAGTTTCTTATTTAAAACAAAAAAATTTTATTTGAATAATTTAAAAGTAAAGTAATTTTAATGAAATCAAATATCTATAGGAACATTTTAGCTTTCATACATTTTTTTCAAAATTGAACCTATACCTTAAAATGCATTAAATACTTTATTATAAAATGTATTTGAACTACAAGTTTTCTTGAAAAAAAGCTAAATCAAGCATACAAAAGTATTTATAATATTATGATATACTTTAAGTTTCATTAAGTTTATTTCATACTCCAATATAAAAATATATTTTAATAAAAACAAGTAGTTTTTGCTGACCCATCTCCCGTCATAATTTATTTGCCCATAAAATGGTAAAAGCTGTTTAATTTTTGCATGAAAATTGCATTGAGTAATGTCCACTCTTTTTGCTCCCGGAAGCAAATGGGTTGAAAGGGAAATAATTTTGATTTAAACACATGCTGAATATTTGGGCCCCGGAGTGCAGGCTTCGTTTTAGGGTTATCCTAAATTATGGCCGGCAATTAAGCTAGCCGTTATGAGCTCCGGCCGAGCAATGTGGCCGGGCTCGTTTGGCTGGGAAATTAAATTTCCGATTTGCCTCGCCTGCCACATACATCATAACGCCCCAAAACGAGGGACTCTCCACCCGACCGCACCGCACAACTTGTTTACAACATTAACTGTGCGACATTTGTTGCTCAGCCACACAGCTTTTGAGGGGAATAAAAAAACAAATAGCAAAACAACAAAACAAACAAAAAAAATAGCACACACGCAAACGAGCTGGATAAAAAACACATGGCATCGAGGATGAAACGCCCATTTCCGAAAAGCCGTTAAAAGCGGCGAAAGCCACAAACGAGGGCACGCACATGACCCCGTGACCCCATGGATAACCAGGGATAACCGGAGCAACGACAAAAATCTCAACAATTTATGGCCACTCCACCCGCATTCCCCTCATACTACTATTTTGGCCTGACTTAATACAATTTCGGTTTTAATAAATTATGTTTAATAACACTTTGAATATGTTGCGAAATTAATTTTTCCTGCCCTTGCCCTTTTTTCTCGGAATGCCGACCAACAATATCCTGGCTGTGGAATGCCAGCCAAAAAGGAGTGGGCCAGGACCTGAAGCCGAAGCCGAAGCTGAAGCTGATCCTGAAGCCAAAGGCATTGGGCTAGGCCATAAAAAAGGATTTTACTGCGATGCCATGCCGTGACACTTGTGCCACTCACACGCACACTAACGCACAGCGGGGACTCACGCACAGGCTAAAGGACGATGTGCTGGTATACAAATTTACACTGATCAAAAGAATATCTAGATTAGGTCCTCAAGATACCGAAGGAATCATATTTAAAATAGGCATGCGAGCAGCAGTAAAAGTTTGAATCCAGATGGGAAGATCTCAATTTTAGATTGTTAAGGAGCTCTTCAAAATACGACTTCAAAATGGAATGGCACCATTTATAAGTCTACTAAAGGTTTACAAATTTATTAAGGAATAAACAATAACTGAACTATCCTATATAAAGAATCGAAACCAAAATGTTTCGAGATAAATATACAATTTTTAATGTTTAGCATCTTTAAAGACATATGTTACAAGCTGAATAATAACATTAAACTGGAAATGGAAGTTTAAAAATCTTAAAACACTATTATAAATATATAATCAGAAGTTATCCTATAAAGTCAGAGCTACATACTGACATAAAGCTCCTATAAGAAACAATGTCTTTATTATTTCTATTCTAATATAATGACAGATATGTTACAGTCCATTGAGTGATCCTTAGCAATAAAGCAAAATGTAATTCTTTTCACCATATAATTGATTTAAAGACTGTAAAGAGTGTGAAAATGTAAATATTTACTTAATTTATTTAAGGAATATTTATTTATTAGTCTGGGTAACCATTTAAAAACGACTTTTGATAAGCGAGCTTAGACAAGATTAACTCATTCCGTTTGAAGAGAATTTATGTCTTAGCACTGAGCTGGAGAAATCCCTAAGTTAATGCTTGCCATCTTTATGCGAGTGTACATTTAAATATATGCTAAGTACGGCTAACGCACCGCCAGCACTTTTGCCCATTGCCCCGACACCTTTACGCAACCCTTCAGCCCCCGCTGCCGCCACCCTTGAACTACCCCAGCAGATTCATCCCCTAGCACCATTCATCCCCAATCCACTGGCCCCATAAAAAACGCAATTTTCAACGCTGATGATTACTCAATGCCACAAACACGGGCACGTAGCAGACCCACAAATACGGTTGAACCTCCCGCCCTACACATACACCTACACACTCACACCCATACACTTAAGCCCTCACCCACACACACACACACCAGCATTTGGACAGCAGCACGTTTCATTTCCGCCACAGACATTTGCTGCCTGACATCGACCGCAAAAACTCAACTGAGCAGCTCTCTCTCTCTCTTTCGAAGGATATCGCTCTCAGGAAAGGTATGTGTACTATTCAACGCTCTCCCCGTTGATTTTCCGCTTTTCCAGCGAACTGCACTATTTGACAGTTTTCCGTCACCGTCACCGTCACCGTAACCGTCACACACACTGAACTCCAACACTCAGAATTCAGCAGCACTCACCACTTTTGAGTGAATATCCGCAATGGCGTGTGCATAAATATTTCATAATATTTGGGAATATCGCAGTGGCGATGGAGAAATCCCCCAAAACTCAGTTAGCTGTGTAAACAAGAATATGAGAATGATTGGGTGGATTCGAGCCGAGGGTTTTTCGGCTGGAGGTGAGATGGGGTTGATGGGTCGGGGATTGACAGGTGGTAATCGAGTTTGGGCTTATCGGGAAACATCAATTCAATAATTTCGACGTGTTCGATTCGAGCGAATCATTTTCGATATTCGGGGGAAGGATATCAAATTTAGTGCGCCTTGATTTGCGATTGGGAAATGAAAATATCTCTGTCGAGATATCATCCTTCAGATGGTCTTTTGATCCAACCGTAAACATGGCAACCGATTTCATTCAATTTTCGAACTGTATCGCATGGGGGATAAGTAAACCTATTTGGTTTCGCTAAGTCGCAATGTTTTGGGGCGACGGGTTTCGCAATTCCTTGGGCAAATAAAAAGAAGCTTTACAAAAGGGGAAACACAAATTTATTATTTCTTTTTAAAATAATAAATAATATTTAATAACTAATTTTTATTTTAAGAAACATGTTCATCTAAACTTTTTGTTTGTTATAACAACTTAACAGTTTTTAAATACTACAGCCTTACTTTGTGAACAGTTCACGAAAGCCCCACTCAAAAACCATTAAATTTAACCAAGAATCAGATAAATTAATTGAATATGCTAATAAAGAAGCTTGAATCTCGTGCAAAACAATCAATATTTACTATATAGGTTATTATCTATTCAAAATCACTTTGTTTCTCTATAGTTTTAAAGTATTAAAGCCTCACTCCCACTTACACTCCCTAAATAAGTCCAAGGAATCAGATAAAAACATTTCAAAGAATATAGCACGAAATTCTCTTAGACCAAGTGAATGACCCCTTTGAGGCTCTTCCAAAAATGTAAGCCTCCAAACCAGAATCAAATCCTATTCCCTACTTGTCTGTCTGCAAATTTATTGTATTTGCTCGTTTTGGCAGAAGTTTGCAATCCAATTACGCCAGTACTTCCTACTAAACATTAATGCGAGTTAGAAACACCCCGAAAGACGACCATGCCTCCTCCACAAGCATTAGCAGCCGCAGCGAAATTTGACTAAATGAATGGGTAATACAATTTCCTTTTGCCGAGAAACAAAATTGACTACATCGAATAAAATTTGCTGAACTTGGCAACTATTTAAATGCGGCAGATGGCAAAGGACGAAGGATTTTCCCCTGGCAAAGTGGAAGTGAACGAAAATCCAGAGAAGGATACACGCCTGGTTAGCTAAAAACCAAGTCGGCGCTGAACGATAAACAACGTAATCTGATTTCACTTAAAGCCTGCCTTCCGGCCACGCCCACTGACCACTGAACGGGGGGAGGGGGGGGAGGTCTGAGACCCATATTTAACACCAAGTTGTTGGACCAATAAAACGGTAAATTTAATAAGCGCTTGACAGGCGCAAAGTTGAGCAGTTAAGTTTAATGCCTCATTAGGCGCTCCGTTTCTGTGACATTGATAGCCGGCGTGGCAAACTTTTGGCCCACACACCCCCACACCTCCACACACACACTAACCACACACACACCCACAAAAAGTGGGCGGGCAGAACGGTTCGCAGCTGCCCCTGATTTCCATGATTAATACTTAAGTGCTTGTTAAAGTTTTGCCCTTTCCCCTCGAATTTCCCTCTTTATATGCAGATGCCTGTTGTTTGCTATGCGCCGAGGTCGGTCTCCTGTCCTAAACAATCAGTATAACCCTATATTCCGTCCCGGGAACCGAGAATCGAGAGCCGAGTTCCATTTGTTTGCTGCTGAGCCAGCAGCAGCCACATCTGAGCTGAACTCCACCGGAAACTGGGCAGCAAAAACAGAAAAAAAAGAGTATTCATCCATATAGCCGAAAGCAACGACAACTTTTAGTAGTCCCAGAACAACCAGCTTAAACTCTCACTTTGCACTATTTTTGACTACGGCTTAGAACCTGAGTGCAGAACTCTGGCTTTTAAATAAT